TTCAAATTAAAATTAATTATAACTAATTTAATAGCATCGGAGGACAGACTATTCCAAAAATAGCTTGTGCAATATAGCTCCAAGAGGAGCTTTCTGCATCCAAAAATACTTTTTAGGTTTTACTAAAAACTTAATAAAATAAGGTTACTTTAAGTTTTATTTAATATTTTTGTTTTACACTTTGAGGTATAATAGTTTGATAGTCTTCAATATCTTTTCTTCGTACTAGTTAAATAGTTAATATTACAGACTTAATTACTATTCAGAACTTAATATATCATATAATAACTTTGTCAGCGTGAAAGTAATCTTAGCTACATCAAGATTTCTTGCAAAGCTAAGTGAGTCGAAAAATAAATTAAAAAGTGCTCATCAATATGATATACAAAGCATATAATCATGAAAAACAAATAATAACAAACAAGTTAACTAGTTTTAAAAATAATTTTTTGGATGGATTAATTAAAAACAGTAAAAGTGATCACACCAGTATAAATTCTTCTACTACACACTGTTTTATATTATATTCTTTATGTACGAAAGTACCATAATTGAAAGATATTTTGAAACAGTAACCATATTCACAAATAATAACAAAACCAAGTGAATTCACGCTAATTAATCACATATACATGCATAGTATGCATACACTATTTAAAGTTCCCATTGTAAACAATTCATGATATGTATGATGGTCGTACCGAGATGAAACTAAGTAATTATCTTTATTGATAGTATATTAATAAAATAACTTAGTAATAATAATGGTTAACTTAAGGATCAGCACTAAAATTTAGGAGTAATTTAATGTAAAATAATATATATGAAAACTAAAACCTGAATAACAAAACAATAAGCACAACATTTAACAAAAATATTAATACGTCAATATCCCAATAATAAGTTTAAGCAGGTTAATAGATAAAAATATTAAAATAATGAAGCCAACTAAGGGAATGACATTCATATTCAAATGCAAGTTCTTAGAACTGGACTAATAGGACTGCATTAAGAATGACTCCTTCAGGAGGAAAACAGAGACAGTTACATCAAAAGTAGCAACAGAACCAAATCATGATAAATTGGTTCATAAATGACATTTAAAAATGAAAAATATAGCCACCTCCAAATGATGAAATATTTGTTTAATTAACTTAATTGGTATAAATATTAAACTTGCATTAGGAATCACTATAAATTCAATATTTACACTGTTGAAAAACAATGCACCTTAAAAAATCACACTGATATATAAAAATAACATTTCATTGACAGGAGAATTTTTTTTAAAGGTGAAAATTAAGGGCAGACTATTTACTATGAAACATGAAGTTAGATTTTATAAACTTGTCACGTAATTTAAATGTACATAAACGATAATTAGAATTGGCACAGAGCTTCCTCTCAGCTATGATGAGAGGTAACCTCATACACAGTCATAGAAGAGTACAGAAAGGCTGCAAACTAAATTTACACAAATAATATATTTTTATATATATTTATAAAACATACCTTGACAGAATCAAGCGGGTACATAACACAATGCTCCATAATCCCAGCGAAAGCTCCTGCCATCATGTGGCTGGTGACATTGGTCGTAGGAAGGGTTTCATAGTCCTCAAAGTTCATAATATTTGCTCTGTTGATTAGTCGTTAACTGAGAATTTAGTCTATCCGGTTGTCCAAAACAAAATACCAAATAAAAAAAAACGGAAAACTAAACAAAAAAAAGGACAAACCGAATAGAAGGGCCGAAAGGTTAGGATGAATTAAGTAGAACAACTGACCTATGGTTACAGACCATGGATTCCCCAGCAACTTATTTAACAACGAAGGCTGGGGATAATTTCGCATCCAAACGGAATTAATACTAAAATATATCTATGTACAAAAACTACAAATTGTAGTGCGAGTGAGTGAAAGTGTAAAATATTTCTGCTATAATGCTGGACTGCCTATCTTATATAGAGAAGGTTACTTCAAATAGCAGCATTGTTGCGATAGTTCGGCAACAGATAGCGGTATCTGCTAGCCGGCCTGGTTCCACAAACATCTCATCAAGATAGGTAGCGTTTCAATCGCCGATTCACTCCAATCACCAAAATAATACATCCTCCTTGAATAACTTCCGCTTAAATCAACATTGTGATCAATTTAATTATCGCAGTTTTAGTAATGTTAAAAAATAAGATATCTACAAACTCAACATCAACTACAGAAATACAAGCTGGTAATTCTTAAAGTATCAGTTTTAATTAAAATTACGTGGGGACCTAACCATGCTAGGAAATATTTTTACGAGGATCAGATCAAAAATTGTTTTGTGCAGTAATATATTTTACAATAACTGTATTATTTCATTAATAATATTCCACAAAATAACTTCAGCACAATAAATATGACAAAAATATTACGAACCATTTATAATAGCTGTATTTCTATTTAATTGAAGATAAATATCTTCTTCTTTTTTTTCAGAACATATAGTCAATATACCACATTGATAGGATGTACAGGTTGTATTTAATTAAAAATATATTATTTTTATCTAAATGACAATATTTCTATGAGAGATGATTTCACCGATCTATTTCCGACACTTAAAAGCCGAGGCTGTAATGGCAGAGAATGTTAAGAGATTATCTTGGGAACATCGAATCTGACCATCAAGGGTTAAAGTTTATTAAGTGGCATATCTGTAGGAAAAATCTTAATCCTAATACCTGTAGGGTAACACCTCCTGTTACGGATAAGCGATTGAGCTTGGGCAAAGAATATGATACAATCTAATACAGTCACCCATCAGCATGGGCGGATCTACAGGGGGGGGGCTTTCGGGCTGAATCCCCCCAAATGGTAAATATAACCATTTTATGGAGAAAAAAAATTTTAAAATACCTTTTAAGTATTATTGTTGGCGTAATTAGATTTAAAAGGACTTAAGGAATCACTTAAACACCAGTTCATATAGGTAGTTAGTTTCTTTCTGTTTTTCGAAAGTAATTATCGTTATTTTTATGAAAAAAAAGCTTTCAGGCTGAAGCCCCTCCCCTAAAATTAAATCCTTGATCAGGTAGTGCCCATCAGTAAGGTGCGCAGCCGCAAGAAAACTATTAAATAATAATTGTTACCAAATTAAATTATCTCTGACAATCGAAGTATAACAGAAATGATCAATACAGACTTTTATTGGTAGAAATGAACGTACGCATAACTTAACGTTTTAATGCCGAAACCCCGTATCCCAGAAATGTCCGAAAGAAGGGAAAAAAGTATGCCGTCGGTGATGAGCAAGGGTCAAGAATATATGTCTTCATATTATGACAGGAGAACATTTTGTTACATGCCCTGCTTTACAAGACATAAGACGTTCCTTTAGTGAAATGGACAGCTCTTATGCTAGGAGAACAAAATTACATTGGGCTGCAAGTGCCCGCATGGCTGATCAAGCAGGCGTTACTTAGGCGTCGGAAAAAATAAAAATATTTTGAATGTTCTACATTATAATATCTTAACTTCTACATTTTTCTTAACCCAACAAATTTTATTTTTGTATTATTAATATAATATAATTATTATATTAATAATACTTTATAATTTTGTGCATAAAAAAAGAAGACTATTTAAGTAAATGCTATATTTTTAACTATCAAAATAAATTATTCCTGTGAAACTAACCTATTGTGCTCTAATTCACAGTATTTTTTATTTTTATTTTCCTTAAATCAGTACTTTCATTAATGGTCAAGTATTTCTGTACAAAAAATATGGAAAAGAATTATCAATTTATCTATGTCTACAAACCATTGAGTTTCCAATTTTAGATATATATATATATATATATATATATATATATATATATATATATATATATATATATATTAGCTTTCATTATTTATAGCCTGATTAGCAAGTTATATTTTGTACATAATTCTTGTTTATATTTTATAAACCATCTTCAACTATTTCTTTTAAATAGTCAAGTGGGCAACAAATTAAAAAAAAAAATGTGGAAACTTTCCAATTTACTTAAAGAAAAAAAAATCTTTAACAGTTGTGTATATTTGTCAGTTCTTTTCCTATTTTCCTCAACAAATTTATTTTTTTCGCAATACCTTTCCTTAATTTTTGTAAGTAGTAGACTTGTATTTTACTAACTTTTGTCAAAACGATTTTCTATGAGACTAACCTTACTACTATATAGATTAGTTTACCTAGGTCTCATTTTTAAGTAAATAATTTCATTAAAGTAAATAGTGGTTTATATCCCTAGTTTATATGTTTATTAACCATTTTCAACTATTTTTTCTTTAAATAGTCAAGTATGCAATAAATTGAAAAAAAAGAAGTGGAAACTTCACAATTTACTTATAGAAAAAAAATCTTTAATTGTTGTGTTTATTTGTCATTGATTTTTCCATTTCCAATACTTTTCTTAAATTTTTGTATGTAGTTGTCTTATATTTTTCTAACTTTGGCCTAAACTATTTTCAGGCACTAGGAAGTAATTATTATATCTAGATTTTTCTCTTGATGCCCAATATTATAAATGACAATGTCCAAATAAGCATATCTATACTGTTTCTTTGTTTACAACTGAGTTAAATTGGCTTCAGCAATGATAAGTAATCATCAGTAATGATTGAACGTGTAGGGGTCTTCATGATCAAAGCAATCCCGAGCAATCTTTGCCATTCTTCTGACGTTTATTCATGAATTACTGTGTAGGGTCCGCTTATAGCATCAACGAAAAACCTTGTTTTCAAATTACCATGAAGACAAATATAAAATTAATTACTTTTGAGCAAGGAGTGATGTAACATTAAAATAAAATATAGCTATAATATGATCATGAGAATAATATCTCATAAAGATTAGCAATTTACTTAATAACATAATGACAAACAAAACCTTAATAAGAAAAAATGTTCTTGTGCTTGTGCAGTCAAAACATATGACCTCAATATTAGACCTCTTTGCCATTTCTCTTTGGATAAGATTTGTAACCTGAACAAAACAGTAAATTTAATCAGAAGTGTTGTGAAGAAGATGGTAGATTTCAAAAATTCTTGGATAGATAATGGCTTTGCGATTAAAGGTGTTGATGATGAACTTATAATCGAACAGTATGTGCAAGATGCTCTCGACTTCAGTTCTCAATATGGTAGTGATATAAGTATTTCTTACACTGCCTACAATATTTCTGGAAGGCCTAGTAAATATCCCGACTATGGAGATTTTCCCCAAGCTTTTGTCATGGTATGGTATTTATTTATAATATTTAGTTATTCTTTATGCAATGGTTGATAACGGTGCAACTATCTTTTAGCGCACTTATGGTAAGTGGTGGGATGAAGCACCAAGCCGAACTGTGAATATAATGCCCCAAAATTCAGGAAATATTGTTAGTCAAGACTACATTGGTATTTATTCGCTTATTAATTGTTTTTTAAAAAAAAATTATATGTTGGAATATTATATTATTATTTAATTACAGATGTAACTTTTGAACAAAAAGTATATCCCACAAAGGTGAGTATATATGAAACATACAATCCAGGTTCAGTTGTGCGTATTTCTGCTGGTGATGGTCTTGGGATGTGGAAAACTCTTTGGGAAGGAGAACCCCAATGTGTCGGACCTAGTCCGAGAATTTTTTCTCCTGAAATTGCATCAATTGAATTTATGACTTGGTAATTATTTGTTTTAAGCTTTGCATTGTTTTTGAAAATGAACTGTATTATCATTATCTGTTTAAAACTCTGATGACAAGGCCCTCACAGGAACTTTTATATCTTGAGATAGCATAAGTTGATAGCTGTTATCAGCACAAAATTTATAAAATGTTCTGGAACTGTTATGATGGCTGAAGAGTATCGGGATCTTGATTTAATTGTAGGGTGTAAAACAGAGCTCCACCCATTGTATCCTTGTAATTGAGAGTTTGAATAAACAACAATATTTTTCACCTTATTTTATCATTTTATAAACAGTCTTCTAATTCATAAATCTTGATTGAGCACCACCTCACCTTGATTGAGCACTGGTGTAATAACTGGCGCATTAAAGTTAATGAATCTAAATGCCAACACATTACCTTTACACTCCGACGCAGTTCCTGTCCACCAGTACACTTTAATTCCATCCAGCTTCCTTACTCAGACACAGTCCGGTATCTTGGCTTTCATTTAGACCGAAGACTGACGTGGAACCCACATACTAGACTCAAAAGACAAGAACTCAACCGACGATACGGCCAGCTATACAGACTACTAAACAGAAAATCCAAACTTTCTATTGAAAACAAATTACTTATCTACAAGACAATACTGAAACCTATATGGACATACGGACTTGAACTGTGGGGGACAGCAAAAGCTTCTAACATCAAACGTATTCAATCCTTTCAATCTAAAGTCCTTCGAACAATAGTTGATGCTCCGTTCTATGTAAATAACAAAATCCTACACCATGACCTTAATATCCCTTTTGTCCTAGACCTTATTCCAGAAAAATTCTCCAAATTTCACCAGAACCTTACCTATCATCCAAATCCCCTTGCACAATCTCTATCCAACACCACCCATCCTTACAATCCTCCTCGAAGGTTGAAGCGGCAGTGGCCCAGAGACCTTTTGTAAATAAGCATCTATTGGAGTTTTGGCAATGGCCAGATCCTCCACTCAAGCCCGAGTGTGTATGATTAGGTTAGTTCTTTTGTTTATATACATTTATTTTATTTTATTGTATTTATTTTTATTTTATTTATTGTATTTATTATTATTAAGTTTCTGTATTATTTTTTTTTTTTATTTATTGTAAATAGAGTGTGAGTGTGCTTTCTCTGAACACTATTATCAATGTCCTTGATGTGACAGAATGTAATATTTCTAAATAAACAAATAAAAAAAAAAAAAAAAAAAATATGAGAAAACGGAGATAAATAGTCGAAAAAAAAAAAAAAAAAAAAAAAAAATTCATAAAAATTATCTGATAGCGATTCTTATTGTTTTATTCATGTATACACAAAAATGATTATGTTTCTTGTAGATGGCTAATGTTAGCTAAACATTGACTACATGTACTGTTTGAATATAATTTTTTTCATTTTCATGATATAAATATAATTTTCTCTGAATAAGACTAATTATTAAAACTGTTTTTATATGATTAAAGTCAATTTAAAAAATGCTAATAAATTGAAGTTCCATGCATCTACAGAAAATTTTAACAATAATGATGCTAGGTGAAATTATCCAGTTTATTGATTTTGTTCTATTCTTAACAGGCTTCTTTCGATTAAATTTAAAAGGCTTTGAATAAATGGATTACCAAAGAGAGGATTTATGTCTTATATAAAACATGATTAATCAAAATGTTCAGAAAATTAAGTTCCATTAGTATTAAATTTTTTAAAGAATATATTAATAATGGTTTCTTAATGTTTTAGCCGTCATTTATAAATTAATATTAAAAATAATCACGGTTACACAATAAATTTTAAAAATGATCAAGTTTTTGATGATTCAGTTTTTGAAATGGATGAAATAAAAAAAGCTGATATTCAATTAGATATCCAAATTAAGTTAAATTTAAAATATTAGATTATCCATCTAATTATTTGAGAATTTTCTGTGTTATGCTTTAACTTACTCTTTTTTCTTTAGCTACACCACTTTTTAATTGTTGTTTGATTCCTTAGGTTACCTAGTTATAAAAAAATATGGGAATAGTTGATTATTTGAAAAAGTAGAAGTTTCAAATTACAATTTTTATATTTGTTTGGAAATCAACAATAATGTAAATTAAATGTTTGTTTCAACACCTAAAGGAAACAAAGTATTATAATTTAGTGTAAAAGAATAATTTACTGCTCGTAACCCTTAGCTGTAGGGGAGAAAAAGAAAGAAAAGAAAAAAAATTTTGCAGATATATTTAAGGTTACCTTAAATTAAATATAGTAAATGATGAAATTTGAATCAATCTTTTTCATTACATTGTTTTGAACTCAGATAGAAATTATAGTATCTGTTGCTTATTTAATTTTTGAAATAATATTTTTAAATTTATTTATATGCAGTCTAATATTCAAGTACAGGGAGGGAATACAGTCTGTGGGTCACCGATTTCAAACAAAATTTTTGTTGGTGGCACTAGATCGAAAAATATAAGACACATGCTTCGACATTCTTTCCAATGGGCTCTAGGAGCCGACAAAATTTTTTAAAAATATAATTTCAAACAAAATGTATGTTATTTATTTTTGCCTTTGCTTTGTCCGGATTTTTAGGTTTCTATATATCAATCGTTTTGTTTTTTTGTGCAGGATACGAAAACAATATTAACTATTATATTAAATGAGTTATAGCATGTGTCTTATATTTTTCGATCTAGTGTCACCAACAAAAATTTGGTTGAAACCGGTGACCCACAGACTGTATCCTCCCCTTGTTAGTGACTTTATTTTTCTTTTTTTTAATTCTAACTTCTTTATTAATAATTCAAATTCTTATTTGCCATCATTTGAAAGATTAATAAAGAATTAATACATTAATTTAAGACTATTTTATTTTATATATAATCTTAATAATTTTGAAGGGACCATATTTAATCATCTTATCTTAAATAAAAAATAAATTATGTCATTGTCAATTAAATATTTCAACCATATAAATTTATTATAGATATTTATTTCAGCTTATTAAGGATTGAGTTCGATCACCATCAGCTTGATTATTATACTGAGCTGGATGCAATTCTACTTGTTGGATCATCTTCCCCAAGAAAAAAAGCAGATGTTGGCAAGATAACAGCTAAGATTAAAGGCATGACAATTAACACCTTCAACAATGAGGTGAGTTTTCAAAATTCATTATATTATTTATTAATAAATATTTGTCAATCTTAGAAAAAGTTAGTCGGGGTTGCAGTCAAAAAGTACTATATTATATAATAGTATATTTTATTACATTGTCCAATGTTTCGACCTACATTGCAGATCTTCCTCAGGGTTATATAAGAAACAAACAATACATATTATTTATTTAATTTTATATAAACAATATATATTAATTATAGAAAGTGCTGTTGATAACTAAAGTATATGTTGACAACCATTGACATTCAGTTCAATTGGGAAAGGTAATGGAACAAATTGTACTCAATGTCAATAGTTATCTACATATACTGTAACTTTCTATAATTAATATATATTGTTCATATAAAATTAAATTGCTGATATGTATTGTTTATATCTTATATTATACATAGGTCGAAACGTTGGACAATGTAATAAAATATACTATTATATTATATAGTATTTTTTTACCACAGCCCGATTTACTTCTTCTGAAATTGAATCCTCGGTCAACCATCTCAATATCATTTGTCAATCTTAGTTACTTTTGTATGAAAATTTCTTATAAGGAAAGAAGCTCAATTTAATAAAGAGATTTCATTGACAAACTGAGTAAAGGCTTGTCTTGTTTGGCCTTAATAAAAAAAGTTCTTTCTTCAACTATCGGTTGCCCATTATTTCCTATATTTTATTTTTCAAGTTCAGCACTTGTGGCTCTGTACCTTAAATGACTATATTTGAAACTGCAAGAGAGTTTAAAATAAAACACAAGATATAACCTATATGAAAAGAAAGACCTTTTTTTATAGTGGTAAAAGTTTTAGAATATATGGAATCCAACCAGCAATGTCACAATATGTAGAAGAGAAAGAAAAGATTGTAGATTAATTGATACTTAAAATTAACAGTTTTTTACCTGATGAACGGAATATGGTACTGTCTATTTCTGTATTACTCCCAAGAAGTTGTTAAATTTTGATATACGTATTTACAATGTTATAAAGTTAAGCGGTTGAAGAACTTGATTGAGTACAGTTCAGTAGAAGAACTTTATTTGTTTAAGTTATTTTATACAGAATTTAAGTTTTGATTCAGTGCATCAGAAATGAATAAACTTGAGAATATCTCTCAATCCTTTTCCTACCAACATTTTTCTTTGTTTTTTGTTCCATTTTTACTTGATTTAGTTTTGAAAACAAATCTTTTTGTGTACAATTTTAAGCTGTCGAAAATTTCTCTTGGTCTGAAATAATTTTACGTTTACAAAGTTAAACTTTCTTTTCATTTTGCAAAACATATAATTTTCATAAATTAAAGGCCATTTTCCATCAATGTTTTATTTATTTTATAACGTAATGTGTTAGTGCCATTTTCAATTCTTCTGTCATCATATTCATAGTCATTATTCTTTTTTCTTTAGCTAAGAAAAAATAAACATTGTCACTAATCATTTTGGGTTTCCCTTAAATCATCTATAGAGGTGCCTCGAAACCTCGAATGAATAGTGATATTTTTACTTTTTCTTAACTAAAGAAAACAGGATAAGGGCTATAGATATAACGACTGAAGACTGATTTAAGTCTTGAAAGTGGCTCAAGCACTGGCCGAAATGTCAAAAATGATATTATAAAATAAATAATACATTGGTGGAAAATGGCCTTGAGTTTATGAAAAATGTAAACCTTAAGACACTGAAAACAGGCAAATAGATACCTATAGGAATAAAAACCTTTAGTGTTCAACAAATTCAATAATTTGAAGTAATCACTTCTCAGTAAAGTTATTATTTCTAAACAACCGTATTGTATGTTGTAAGTAGTCCGGATTGTGAAATTCAATGATGGATTTGATATTTATTTCAAACTGATTATTTGATGATTGCAGATAGATATAGCTAATACTCTCAACTCTCTGTCATCTCTTGCCCAGCATTACACAGCTCTCTTGGAGGATATCAACAATGAAATAGAATCTTCCTGCTTGGTATCCTGCTCGGGACCCTTTGACCTTTTGCCTGTAAGTAAAATGTTTCTTCTTGCATTTATAAATTGTTATGTATCAAGTTTTAATCATTGCGTATATGGATTGGCCTTTTATTATTTATTAAAGGTTAAGGGGAAAAAGAAATTTGTTAGAACAATAATATAATCCTGGATAGAGGTGTAAAAATTGTTGAAGGAATTATATGTAAATTGTAATGTAAAATACGTAGTTTGAAATTCTTCATGGTGCCTGCAGAGTTATTCTAAATACTTTATCATGCATTTTATAAATGTGTGTAGTTTTATTTATTTTTTTATTAATTAAATTTTATTTATTAAATTGATTGCAATGTTGAGAAGATCTCTTATTTTACTGACTGGTTGATTGATTAGAAGTATGTTTCAAGAACTATTAAGCATCTTTCATGCTTTTTTTTTTTCAGCAAATTTCTTTTTTTCTTTAATCTCTCTCTCTCTCTCTCTCTCTCTATATATATATATATATATATATATATATATATAGATATATATATATATATATATATATATATAGAGAGAGAGAGAGAGAGAGAGAGAGAGAGAGAATTGATTTGTTATCTCTAGTTTCTCAAAATACATTATCATTCTTTTAGTTTCTTTCTTTTGGTTGTTGTTGGCAGTATCTCTGCAAACCTGCTTTTTAGAAATGTATGGAGAAAAAAATGTACACTTATGATTTTAATTAATCTCTGATGTTGGTAACTACTAGTTATGTAGTCTCCTGTATTAGTAATTTGACTTACAAGAGGAGGTTACTGCCGTGGGGTCACTGATTTCAATGAAAATTTGTTGGTGGTACTAGGTCAAAAAATATTAGACCCATGTCTCAGGGTTCTCGCCAACGCTCCCCAGGAGCAAAAAAATATATATATTGTATATAATTTTATACAAAATTTATGTTATTACTTTGTTTGTGCTATGCCTGTATTTTTAGATTATTATGTACCAATCAATTTCTTTCTTTTTTTTTTCTTTTAATAAGAAAAAATATTGATTAAGCTATTAAATGAATTATAAAATATTTTACCTTATGTAATAAAAACTAAAAGGTGCTTCCGGTAAAGTAGACCATGTATTTTTTTTTGTTATGAAAATGCAAGTTACATTCGTTTTTAATATTCTTTACTTATATCCTTATATCCAACTGATTGATATAAAATTTTAGAGATATCATAAATTGCAAATAGTTTTTTACTTTCCTACCTATACTAGGTAAGGAAAGTATTGCAATCGGGTCAAATTTCCGACATGCGGTTTTCGACGGATCTATAGGTTTCAGAGCCCCCTGAGTCCGAAAAACACATTTTTAGCCATTGGTCTGTCTGTGCCAAGATTTTCTCGCGAACCACTGAACCGATTTTATTGCTTCTTTTTTTATTTTGTAGGGTTTTGACTACTGATGCCTGTGACAAAAATTTGGTGCTCCATGCGCAATAGCTTGCGCGCAATAAATGAAAAACATGTTTTTTTATAGACTGTAGCGCAAAAATAGCTCTAACGATTTTGATGAAACTTTCCTATAATTTTCTAATCATTGTTCTTTCAATTTTTGTATATAGACTAAATTCCCAAAAAAAATCAGGAAAAAAAGGTTATAAAGAAAAGAAAAATGTTATTGGGCCTAACTCTCTAAGTATATATAATACGGTAAAATTTATAATGAACAAAATACGCTGTTTAGCCTCTCGTTTGAAAGGTAATGAAATTTCCTACAAAGCCATATAAAAATTGTTCATTTTTGACTACTATTAACGAAGTTACAGCTATTCAATTTCCAATGTAAGATTACGGTTTCATATCCTGGTGTCAGAAAGGCGTAAATGAGAGAATAAAGATGACTAAGTGAAAGTAAGAAAATCTGTTGCCCGCATCACACAATCTTCACTATTTCCTCTACTTTTAACAGAAATTATTGTTTGACAATACTAAGCTATGCCAAAAAGTTTTTGATCAGCAATATTAGGAAGTATTGAAATTTTTACACTGATCTACCTTAAGCCGGTTTACATTGCTTTAGTTAATCAAATAAATCTTATATTTGATCAATTTTCAGGAAAATGTATCTAGTTTAATTCTTTTTTGTTTCTTCATGAAAATATGTAAAGATATAAAAACTTTTCTGAAATAGGTAGGAAAGTCGTGTGAGTGGACACACCAGATATTTTTTTCATAACAAAAATTTACATGGCCTTCTTTATTGTAAATACCTTTTGGTTTTTGCTATGTATATACTTTATGTTATGTAGATACTTTATAACTCATTTAATACCTTAATCAATATTTTTCCTTTATTCTGTCCAAAAAAAGAAATTGATTAATATATTTTATTTTTATTATTTGGGTTTTTCCACAACTTACAGAGTTATATCCCCAACACCCAAAAGCCACTGCTCCCTGAACATCCAATCTCCTTCATGGAGTCCTCTGGCTGCCATGCATTCCTCCACGTCCTCTATCCATTTCTTCTTTGGCCTTCCAAGCTTCCTTCTTTCAGGTGGCATATAGTTATAAATTTTCTTTGGCCAGCGGTTCTCATCCATCTGCATTAAGTGGCCATACCACTTTAACTTTTTGGTCCCGATCAGGTGAAGGATGTTCTTTTGTCATCCGACGTTGTCTCTAATTGCTGCATTTGGGATCTGCTTGATTCTAGATACAGCATTTGATTCTTGCTACAGCTTCTTCTCCTGAAATCCATTTCCATGGAAAGCAACCTATTTTTCACGTTTTTTATAATTGTCCAAACTTCTGATACGTAGATGACTACACTTTCTACAAAGGAATGTTTTTTTTTTTTATTTATTTTAAATGATATTTACAACTGTATACAAAAAAATACATCTAGTAAATTTGCACATTGGTATAAAGACATGGAACACATGTTGAGAAACTACCCATTGGTAGCACTCTAATAATATGTCTATATTAGAAGATCACGTGGCCATCTTCTTTTCAGACGCCTCGGAGGGTTATCAGGAATCGAATAGGAAGCAAGGTTAGAGACAAGAGGGTTGGGATGGTTATGAAGTTTATTATGGAAGGACAGATATCTGGATTGGGCCAAATCTAATACATAAGGAACATTAAGGTCATTATGGATAATTTTATTTGTAACAAAGTAAGGAGCATTGAGGATTTTACGAAGGATTTTGGATTGCAAGGACTGTATGCGAGAGGAATTTGAAGGCTTGGTGGAGCCCCATAGCTCAACCCCGTAAGTCCAAATAGGCCTTATTATAGTCATGTAAATCAGTCTTTTATAATTGATTGGAAGGTTAGAGCGTTTGTCTAGTAAGTGTTGAAGTAGTCGGAAACGTCCAGGATTCCAAGTTAGACGTTTGTCCAGATGGAGTCCTAGGTAACGGATTTGTTCAACAGGAATAAGTGAGGTGTTGTTAAAGGATACTGAAGGACAGGAAGTCATTGGTTTACGACGAAGGGTGAAGGTAATTTGATGGGATTTATTGGAATTTATTTTAATTCTCCATTTCTGACACCATTCTTCCAGGTTTGTGATGTGGGATTGAAGGGTTTGGGATGCAATAGATGGGTCGTTATTGACTGATAGGATACATGTGTCATCAGCATATGTGGTGATGACAGTGTTGGGATGGGTTGGGATGTCAGCTGTATAAACTGTGTAAAGGATAGGACCTAGGATACTACCTTGAGGAACACCTGCAGTCTGGGAAAAACGGGATGTATATACATTGTTGTGATTTACTTTAAAGTATCTATCAGTAAGGTAGGAACGGATAATGAGGAAGTAGGTAGATGGTAGGAATTTTCGGAGTTTGTACAGCAGTCCCGGGTGCCAAACTCTATCAAACGCCTGTTCAACATCGAGAAAGGCTCCCGTACAGTACATACCGCTCTCCAATGCAGAGGATACTACGTCTACCACACGATGGCATTGCTGTATAGTGGAATGGGAGGAGCGGAATCCAAATTGGTGATCTGGGATTATGTGATTAGAATCTAGGATTGGGTACAGACGTTTTAAGATTAGTTTTTCCAGGATTTTTCCCATGATGGGTAACAGAGAGATGGGACGGTAAGAGGATGGATATTCTGGTGGCTTTTTGGGTTTGTGGATCATTTTGACAATAGATATTTTCCAAGGATCAGGGAAATATGTTGATCGGAGTACAGCATTATATATGAAAGTAAGGAATAGGATGGCTTTTCGAGGAAGAAGTTTCAAGATCTGGGATGTTATTAGGTCATGTCCAGGAGCTTTGTAGGAGGGTAATCTTTGAATGATGTTGGATATTTCTGTGGGATGAAATGCTTTAGGTGGTAGGGACATTTGGAGAGGAGTATCCAGTTCTGATTCAATACATTCGATGTGGGTTGGATTAAGGATATCAGGATGTGGGTTGAAAATTTGGAACAGATGTTGACCGAATAACTGGGCTTTTTCTTCGTCGGATTTGGACCAGGTTTGGGATTCAGTAAGAAGTGGGTGATTAAAATCTTTAAACTTCAGAAGTTTTTTGGTTGTAGTCCATAGTGATTTGTCAGTTGTTGTAATATTTCCAGTTAGGACAAAGGAATGGTAAATCTTCTTTTTAGTTTCTAATCATATTTCCTTACTCCATAGGGTTGAATTTATCGAACTTATTATTGTTTTCCCGTAATACTGGCTATCTTCAAAGGGAGGTAGTGAGATTGATATCAAACATAACATAAACAATGATTAATATATAGTAATCTAAAAATCCAGGAAATGCAAAAGCAAAAATTATGAACATACATTTTGTTTGACATTATACAGGGTGTTTCGTGCACGGCACTATTTTAGGTATGTGTTCACTAACACAAAATAAACGAAAAAGTTCATATTAACATGTATCTCAAACTCATTTATTAAACATATATCAAAGGTTAAAGATTTATTATTTTATTTACTACATTAAGACTGACTACAAAGTTTGACATGTTTAATACTACATAACAGGTTTTAATCACCTGATAAACAAATGAACGATAAGCAATGGCAGTAGTTGCTCATCTGTTTGGCTAGTCCTGCGTGTTTTAGTATGAGTGAATACTGTGACACAGTTCAGTTTAGGATTATCATGGGGGACACCATAAATTTATTCACTTTTGCAGAACAAACAGACATGCTTTTAACTAATGGCGAAGTACATAGAAATGATGTTGCTGCTGTTCGAAGATATCGTGAAAAAGTTCCTAACTGAAGAATACCAAATCGTAAAATGTTTGAGGCAATTGAAAGACGCCTTAGGGATAATGGCACGCTAAAACCTATACGAGTAAATGCCAGTTGACAAAGATTTCGACGAACTGCAAATGTTGAAGAAGAAATACTCAATGCTGTTCAGTTATCTCCTATTACTAGTACCAGAAGATTGTCACGTCGTTTCGATGTTTCCTCTTCCAGTGTATGGAGAACTGTACGTGAACAACAATTGTATCCATTTCACGTATCGAGTAGGCAAGATTTATTACTGCAAGGTTATAACAAGTGCAGAAATTTCTCCCAGTGGTCAATTCAACAATGCACCCGAGATCCTAACTTCCTGAACTGCATTTTGGTTACTGATGAATCTTGCTTTATAAGGAACGGGATTCTTAATTTTCGAAATACCCATACTTAGGCTGAAGAAAACCCTCATACGACTGTTGTTGGACATTACCAATATACCTTTTACTTTAAATGTCTGGTGTGGTCTTCTAAGCAACAACATCACCGTCCCCTTCTTTTTGCCACCTAGGCTGTCAGGTATATCTTACTTGCATTTTTTGCAAAATAATCTTCATGAACTCCTAGGCGATATTCTGCTAGGCATTTGGCAAAGGCTGTAGTTTATGCATGATGGTGTTCCAGCTCACTTTTATAGTGTCATTGATTATTTAAATGCAATCTATGGAGAACGATGGCTGGTCGAAATGGACCTGTTAAATGGCCACCACGATCCTCGAATTTAACGCCATTAGATTATTTTGTGTGGGTCTGGATGAAGTCTATGGTTTATTCTGCAGCAGTTGGCATGCAAGAAGAGCTAAGAAATCGTGGAAGCCACAGTAACTCTCAAGCACCATCCTGATGCTATACGAAGAGCCAGAGAAGCATGGATTCGTCATGCTGAATGTTGCATTCAACTAAACGGAGGCTCCTTTGAACAGTTACTCTAAATGTTGTAATAATAATAAATAAATAGTAATAATAAATAATAAATCTTTAACCTTTGATATCTGTTTAATAAATGAGTTTTAGATATATGTTAATATGAACTTTTTTGTTTATTTTGTGTTAGTGAACACATACCTGAAATAGTGCCGTGCAATTACGTAACACCCTATAATCTTTTTTTTTGGTCCTAGGGTGCATTGGCAAGAAACATGGGCTAATGTTTTTCGGCCTTGAATCACCAAAACAAGTTTCATTGAAATCGGTGACCCTACACCTGATTACATCTCTCCCTGTTATTACTTTCTTATCTGGATTTTCACTCAACAGTTTTAGTTTCTCTATTTGAACAAACATGCTCAATTATCAATCTGTTATAACCAGAACATGGAGTTTGAGCTTTATAATGTTTACTGCCAATCATAATTTTTAATTTGGCTATCACATTTATGATTATCACCTTTTCTTATTATTCAATCCATTTTAAGTTTACAAACCTCAATTGAACTTTATTTCTAGGATGAAACTATCCTGAGAGTGCTGAGTTTTTTAGATCTTGCTTCTCTGTCAAGGTGTGCCCGTGTCAATCGACATTTTAATCGTCTGGCCACAGATACAATGCTCTATACTCAGCTTAATTTGAAGGTGATCTAAACATTACCATCACATTATTTAACTCTATTTTCTTCCTATTTTCATTATTTTGAATTTAATTTTGTATGTTAAGAATTCTGTTTCTACAATTTTCATTTAATATCTAATCTTTTCAATGTTTATTTTTTTTAGTATATTATTTTATCTGAAAAATGCCTGCCACAGAAAGTTTTAACAAGTATCCATATCCATTTGCTTCAATATTTGTTTTTTATGCAGTATCATTAGCCAAATTATGTCATATGGCTGTATCAGATATCTGTTAGATCAACTATTTTTTTTTTTTTTTTTGCCCTGTCCAATATCAATATGATGGACAAGAACCAGTTTTAAATGTAAATTGGTTGATTTAATGTTTATTATTGTTTTAAAACTGTTGCCCTCGACTTTTGCAGCCCTACTGGAGTTGCCTCAATGCAAGAGCACTCCAAACATTGTCCACCAGATGTCAGCATTTGCAGAAATTGGATCTTTCATGGTGTGGAAACTATGCAATGATCACATCTCCAGACATTGTCGAGTGAGTGTTATTTTTTATGTCTATGTAATGTTTTTTATTTATAGAACTGACTCTTTAGTGTCTGGCTGTTTGCTATTTTTCTATGTTCAATAACCTGGCTGGTACTCTGAGGGTTCTGGGAAAGAGGGCTGTTTTCATGTCTCTATTTCCGTAAGACCAGGAGTCAGTATACTATACTATACACAACAAGGGGGGCTGCCGAGTGGGCTAACATGTGTACACAGCACAAGACATTGCCCGGTCACCTTGATAACTGAAGTTAAAGATGGAAAAATTATTACGAGTCCGCGTGCTTGAGGGGCTTTAACTCTGGCATTTAACTCCCACCCTCACCCCTGGCCCAGAAAAACTCCATATAGCTTCAAAGCCAAGTAAGGGGAGAACAAAAAAGAAATAAAATGTCCGCAACTGTAGTGCGTCATATATGACTTGTGCTATGTTGTAGATGTATAGCACAAGAGTAATAAAGTGGTACAAAGGATGAAAACGTCTCACATTAATAGTATGAAATTTTGAAGTTTGGAAGGAGGTTACAAGTTTTGCTCTCTTTTTTTCTACAAGAGAGAGTTGGTAATTGAATTGACTTCTTTTTATAATTGTGGATAAACAAAAATATTTGAATAAAATAAATTACTTTATTAAATAACAAACTTTCAATTTAATAATTTATACTGCTGAAGACTTTAAAAAAAGTAGAGAAACTTTAAACCCAAAAAAAACAGAATTTAAAAGATGTATAATAACTTTATAAAATTGGTTTTCCATTGATTTCTATCTGTAGTTTAATTTGTGACCTCTGTTTAAAAACAACTTCTTTCTTTTTTATTGTTACTCTTTCAAGGAATAACTAAATAAATAAATAAAATTGTCTTTAAGGATATAAATGTAATTTACTAATTTTCAGGGAATTTATATAGGTTATGAATTGTATTTTATGAATAGATATGCAACAAAGACGACCTTGTTTCAGATTTATTCAGGGTTGTGGCAAGCTGTTGACTGTTATCAGGTTGAACTCTTGTAAATATGTCGACAACCGATGTATTCAAGAAATAGCCATTACTTGCAGAAATCTTAAAGGTTAGAATGCTATTATATTAAAAGTTACTGTTTCATTGGTTTATTATTAATGTTTTCCTTTCATTGCTGTATCAGAATTGTGCTTGAGGAATTGTTTCAACATTACACCAGATGGTTTTGAAAACCTTAAGAACATTTCAACACTAGAAAGGCTTGATCTGTATAGAACATATATTGAATCCCCTCCTTTACTAAAGATTTTGGAAGCATCTCCTTACTTAAAACATATTAATCTTGGTAAGAGTTGATTTTGTATTACTATGAGTATTAAAGTTTTATAGTTAATAATTTCTTTCCGTAAGCTTTTAATAAGTAGTATTGTGTTATGTTTGGATATTAAGAATGTTATCTGCTCAGAAATATTGTTGTTTTTTTCATTATTTTTAGGTTCTTGTGTTCGAGTATCATCCATGGACATAGTTGCTCAAGGATTAGGTCAGTATAACAGACAGCTGGTTTCAGTAGACTTTTGGAAGACTTACAGCTTAACGCCCTTGGGTGTCAGGGCATTGTCCAATTGCCCAAATCTTGAGGAGGTAGATCTTGGATGGTGGTAAGAAAAACCTTAGTTTGTAGTCAATCACATTTTTATTTAATCAGTTTAATTACATTTGAACTTCTATGTATCAAATTTCCATGTACAGAGCGGTCTTGATAATACAAACGTGTAGATTGCATGGCCAGTTCGAATTATCAAAGAATAAAAAAAATAATTTATATATATATATATATATATATATATATATATATATATATATATATATATATATATATATATAATTTTTTTTTATTCTTTGATAATTATATATATATAGGGTATCCCATAAGTAGAGGAAAATATTTAAAAGGCTGGTTGTAGAAATCAATATCTACAAAAAAAGTCATTTAAACAATTGCCGAATTCCCACCAGAAGAAAAGTAGAAAATTCAGGATTTGTTATTTTTTATGTTATTCACGTTTTTTGCTGAAAAAAACGATAATTATAAAATTATTTAATTTAAGTAATTTACAAATGCTTCATAGTAAGCTAGATAAAAATGACTTTTATAGCTCTTAAAATCTGCTATCACTCCTATAAAAATTTACCTCCACTTATGAGACACATTGCAAACAAAAACATTTCTAGAAATGATCGTTTAATATAGGTGTAATGTAGTCTCTGATTTTGTTTGCTATATAAAAAAAAAATCTCACGAATTCCTTAAAAATACCATGCTTCGTCAGTCAACGTTGTATCCATTCACTGCCTCCAAGCAAGCAATAAATGCCTTTATGGTGTTTCTATAAGTTTTCTATAATGAAAATAAAATGGGTGCAATGAAATTTTACACTGAAATAAAAAATAATATAAACTCGTATTCTTTACCTACTTTTGGAGTTCTCAAGCCAACATTACCAGAATTAAAATATGTTTAGTCATTCTTAAAGAATTTATTAAAGAAAAACTTTGACTTTTTAGCTAATAAATTCCTGAAAATTGGCACTCTCATGATCTCTGGTACAAAAACCTATTAAGTGGTTCTCAACTTCTGGATGACCAGTTTAAATCCAGTTCAACTCTGTCTTTCTTACTGTAAACATGTATTATTTTAAACATAAAATAATTAATTGTATACAAATATTTTGAATTATAAAGAAGTAACAAAACGGTATACAATATACAGATATGACAAAAAAAAAAAAATACATCAAGTAAGGTTTCAACAATTTAAAATGATGAATCAGTTATAAAAATTGAAAAGAAGAAATTGAAATTGAAAAGAAGTAAATCTTTCATTATTTGATAAAATCGATGTACAAAATTATAATTGTTTTTGGTATGACTTGAATGGAAAATTGCAATATTTTTTTTATCAACCTAATATTTTTTCTCATAATGACCTTCTTGATCGGTAGATATAAGTCCAACTGTATTTAATTCACCCTCTACTTATCAGTAGTAGGTGTAGTATTATTAGTTCAATATTTATTTACAATATTATAGTTAAATATAATAATTACTGTCTATATCGAATAGTTACATAATTATTATTTAAAGATAGTAAAATTTGAGGCATTGAGATTTCAAGTTGATAAAGTGCATATATCATAGTTTTGAGACAATCCAAGTTAAAACATACTAAAACTAGTTGATGCCGATTGTTTTACAGGATAACTTTATTCTGGTAGTATGAAATGCCTGAGTATTTAAATGATGAACATTATGTAAATACATCTTAAAAGGTCATAAGATATCTGACTGTTTTTGTAACAGGAATTGGAATAGGAGGATTTTAATTGTAGATATGTAGGAGGAATGCAGAATTTTGGTAGGGAGGGAATTCCAAAATTTGACAGAGTGAGCAATAAAGGAGTTTTGTAATGAGGCGGATCTGTGAGAAAGGATGTAAAAGTCAGAAGGTCGAAATCTTGTGGAAAGAGAATGGATTGAGGACTTGAAATGAAGAACATTGTAGGCATAACAAGGATGTTGATTGTTGATGATTTGATAGAGGAACTTACCTATGAAATATTGTATCTGGAAAGATGGGAAGAGCCACTTTGGTTCAGTGTAGAGGTGAGAGACATGGGAGTATCTCGGGGCCCCAATTACGAATCTTAGCAGTTATTCATTAGTATGAAGAATTACTTAAATATTATTTGAAAAATTTATGAATAGTTCTAAAGAATAAAGACAATAGTTAGAAAATAGCAATAACAATTCACTTAAATTCATAAAGTATACACCATTAATAAGTAAGAATCTCCATCATGCTAGTTTTTGTAAATTTTTGGATTTAATTAAATTTAGCTGTGAACACTTCATATTCCCCAAATTATTTATCTAGAATTTCTCCAAAAGATGTAATATATTATGCATTTGTAAATTATTAGTTTTTTAATTCAGTTTAGGAGTATCCATCCCAGGTGACTGCATGAGCTCACTAGCAAATGGCTGTCCGAAATTGAAGAAACTGTTTATGGCTGCATTGAGGGGCATCACTGACAGGGATTTACTTCCTTTCTTGAAATGTACTCCTGATTTGGAACAAGTTGATCTTCTTGGTGTTAGGTCCATTACACCACACATGTGCCTCAGGTGAGATTGTTATTTTTTTTTCGAATTCAAAAAAGTAATGAAAGTGATTCTAGAATTCCCAATCAAGTCTGATTTATGCTAAAAGTGTACATTATGAAAAACATTTTACAAGTTTAATTGCAATTATTACCCCAGCTACTCTTAAATTGAAATAGCCTGAAATTGGGAAGGTTGGTATTGTCTCTTAACTTGAGTAATTAAAAGTTTGAACAAATTTTATCAAATTCAGTCAAGCAGTCCTAAAGCAAAGCAAAAACTGTCAATACTGAAGTTCCTAACCGTTTCTGGAACCTTTCTTCTGATACATTATATTGGTTCCAGAGTTACAAGTAAATCCATACCAGAGTGAGAAGGTGGAGATTCATTTCGTGGGTCTGCCACAAAATAAATTTCAACCCATCCAGCCAAGATTTGAACTATTGCTGCTAAATTGTAGAATATTAGTGAGCGATACCTTAACATGCTCGGCTGTCATGCCCTTATTACCTCCAGTATCATCTATCTGGGTTGGATGTTGATATAACTGGCTTCTGTACTAATTACTTATTTAAGAAACCCTGATTCTGTGTTCTGCAATCACACTTCTCAAGGAAACCAAGAGTAAGGACAGCATGCAAGGATAAGGGGGAGGGTTGGTTGTACTCAATCAGTGAGTTAAGATACTAACGCTCAGTTTGTCCTCAAGGAAATCATACATCCTTCTCAATCTTTACTTTATCTGTTCCTACCCATCTGTCCCATTTTCTATTCCATAATGGAATAAATTTATTGATATTAAATAAAAAAAAATTAACATATTTTTAATGAAAAAAAAAATTATTTTCCAGATTCTGTGCTATATATATAGAATAATAGAATAGAATAAAAAATAACTTTATTCTGGGACAAAGTCCCTTTAGAATAACAAAATAGAACATAATTAAAATACTACATCTGGCCAAAATAAACAATAATAAAAAAGAGAAAGTAAAGAAAATATTAGTTAAACAAGCTATATACAAAAAAAAAAAAAAATCTATATACAAAACACTTAAAGCTATGATAAAACACTTAAGACTATGTACAGTAGGAAAAATTATAATAATACTCTTTTGAAAAATGAAATAATAAAAAATAAATTGAATTCTTCTTTAAAATCAGGCGTGTTTCTGCTAACAAAGAAAAGACAAAGCTGACAATATAAAATATCAGTGTCTTTAAATAATGATTAATATGTAGAGTCATCATTGTCAAATGCTAGAGGTACCGATTTAATTAAATACCAATAAAAAATAATAATAAATAAAAATAAAAAAAATAGATGTGGTCAGTGGCATTAAGAGCCGGAAGATATTGTAATATTCCTAGTGAAGTTCACAGTATAGAATAGTACTATCATTTGATGATGACTAGAATATCGAAAGTTTAGCAAGTATCTGACTGTTTTGGGGATAGGTATTGGAATAGGAGGGATGTGAATGTGGATATGGAGGGAGAATGCCGAATTTTAATAGGTAGAGAATTCCAGAAATTTACAGCGCGAGCTATAAAGGAATTCTGAAATGAGGCAGATCTGTGTGAAGGGATGTAAAGGTCAGAAGGTCGAGATCTTGTTGAAAGGGAATGGACTGAGGACTTGAATTGGAAAAGGTTTTAGGCGTAAGAAGGACGATGGTTGTTGATGATTTGATAGAGGAACGTACCTAGGAAATATTGTCTTCTAAAGGAGGGGAAGAGCCACCTTAACTCAGTGTAGTGGTGAGAGACATGGGAGTACCTCGGGGCACCGATAACAAATCTTACGCAGCTATTCATTAATCTTTTCAGTCTATCACGGAGCTCCACCGAGAGGCCATCATACACCACACAGCTGTAGTCAAAGTGGAGGAAGATGAGAGAGGAAATTAGGAGTCTACGGGTATGTTGAGGTAAGAGATGGCGGAAGCGATAAAATAGTTTAAGGGTAGAAATTGTCCTACGGGAAATGTGAGAAATATGGTAGTTCCAGGAGAGGGTTTGATCTATGAAAAATCCTAAATTTTTAACAGAGGAGTAGAAGGAAATTGGCTGGTCATTAAGGTGTAATATAGGAAAGTCAGGATGGGATCTAATAAGGGGCTTGGAACTAATGACAATGGCCTGAGTTTTGACAGCATTTAACTTTAATCTATTTACATTTGCCCAGGCACTGATTCGATCAAGGTCTTCTTGAATCTTGGCAAATCCTACCAATAACTCTGAGGGAGAAAAGGATAGGTAGATCTGGGTATCATCTGCATAAAGGTGGTGGGAACAATGGAGAATTGAATTATGAAGGTCGTTAATGTAGGAAATGAAAAGGAGAGGCGATATGCTTGAACCCTGGGCAACTCCGGAGGATAAAGGAAGGTAGGCAGATAGTGGTTGATTGGGTATGGAGACTGCTTGGGTGCGTTGGGAGAGGAAAGATTGGAACCAAGAGATGGAACTATTGAAGAAAGATAATGATTTTAGTTTGTTGAAGAGGATGTAATGGTTGATGGAATCAAAGGCTTTGGAGAAGTCGAGAAGTATAAGGACAGTTAATTTTCTATCATCTATTGCAGATTGAATGTCGTTGGTAATTTTAATTAAGGCAGATTGTGTGGAGTAGCCGGGACGGAAACCAGATTGGAGAGGATCAAATTGGTTGGACTTTTCGAGGAACTTGGAGACTTGGGATTGCACCAGTCTTTCAAGAGGCTTTGAGAGGTTAGAAAGAACTGAAATCTTCGGGTGAGGATGGATTAGGATTTTTATTTAAAGGAAGAACAATGGCTTTTTTCCAAGAGGTAGGGAATACTGAATTCTGAAGGGAGAAATTGTAGATAAAAAGGAGAGCTGGGAGGATTTCAGGGAGACATATTTTTATTAATTTGACAGGGATGCCGTCTGGCCCTATGGAATTGGTGTGGGATTTCATTACCGCGGTTAACAGGTCTGTGGGAGAAATGTCGGAAAAATAAAAGTTATTGTCGTTAAAGGATATCTCTGGAGAAAAGCTGGAGGAGGAAGGTAGAGAAGAGGTATTAGCGACAGATATAAAATAAGAGTTTAAATCATCGGATACAGGAAAGGCTGCGGTAGGGGATCTGGAAGGATTACAAATGGAAAGTTTACGAAGCAGTAGCCATTTCGATTTGATATCAGGAGCTGAAGAAAGGGTTTCATGGAAGTAGGAAGCTTTCGCACGCCGGATCCTTGTCTGTGCCAAGTTGCGAAGCACCCTGAACGCTTGGTAGTCATCTGCAAGCCTAGTACGTCTAGAACGTCTTCTTGCAGCGTCACGCCTCTTCTGCAGATCTTTGATTTCCTGACACATCCAAGGAGCAGGCCGGTGACGAAAGGTAGAGGTTTTGAGGGGAGCATGGGTATTGAGAATATTGAAAAGATTGGTGGTAAGAATGTCAACCATGGAGTCGATAGAAGAGTAAGAATATATTCCATTCCAATCAAGGGTTTCTAGGTCAGGTAATATTTTTTCTCGAATAAGGGTATCCAGGTGACGGAAGGTGATAGTTCGAGGCTGGATTGAAGGAGTTCGGATATTATATGTTATCTGTATAAGATCGTGAGATGATAGGAATGATACTGGCAATTGAGAAGAGGAGAGGAGATTTTGTGCAGAGTCTATAATGTAGAAGTCTAGCCAAGTGTCGGACCTGCTGGTGTGGTGGGTGGGGGAAAATGGAACGATGAAGAGGTGCAGAGAGAAAATTAGGTTTTCTAGATAGGATTTGTCATTGGAGTTAGAGAGGAAATTGGTATTGAGGTCACCGGAGATGATTATTCTGGGATATAGAGGAACGAAGTTGAATAGGGTTGATTCGAAGGACTGATCAAATGGAACATGGGGAGGACGATATACCACAGTGTAAAGGAGAGGAAGATCCTTACAATGGATTTCTACTAGAAGGTATTCAACTTGAGGATGATCGGAGGGTGGTGAGGAATCGAGGATTCGAGTCTTCAGGCTATTATGGACAAACATGGCTACTCCTCCGCCATTCCGGCTTACCCGGTCATGACGGAGGAGGGTGTGATTAGGCAAGGAAACAGAAGAGGATGGGATGTAAGGTTTAAGCCAAGTTTCCGAGATTGCGATAATATGATAAAAGTTTTGAGTGAAATATTGCAGGAACTCGTCATAGTGGGCAGGGAGGGATTGAGAGTTAACATGACAGGTGATTAGGGTACTAGACATGAGAGGAATTGGGAGGGAAACAGTCAGAGTTTGGTAGAGAAACTCTAAAACAAATAGAAAATACAAAAAGGCGTTTACAATTAATGAAAATAGCAGAAAAGAAAGTGTAAGCAGAAACCAAAAGAAATAAAAAAACATATGGTCAATAAAATATAAATTAGTGTGTAAGTGTGAAGAGATATCTCTATGCGTAGAAGTGAAAATGTTCCTTTGTAGATAATTGAGTTCAAAGTTATTTTAATGAGGATAAGGAGTAGACGAATTCTTCGTGGTCAGGCAAATATATCGAGGTCTGAGGCCTGTTCAATCAGAATAACTTTATGCCCGTCCTCCTTTCGACATCGCACCTTTCCGGCGGCAAACCACGTATATTTGATTTTCCCCGCAGCTCTCTTCTGTCGGGCAAGCCAATATAAGTGTCTGTTCGTGGGAGTCATTTCCTCACTCAGATATATCCGGTGACAGTCATTCTCCTGCCAGCCGATATCCCGAGTAGTGAGGTCCCTCTTGACTTTCCTCTTCGTTATTAAGTCGTCCCAGACTGACTGTTTGACAAAGCGCGCGATGACAGGCGGTGGTCGAGGGTCATCTTTTCTACTTCTGCGGTGATGTACAATGTCCAAGTCATCTGTACTGAGCCTGATGCCCAAACTTGCTCCAATGCTGGTCACCAAAGCGGCGGGCGTTTCACCAGTTCGCTCCGGTATCCCTCGGATCTCCAGTGATCTGGATAACAAGCCCTGCTCTGCGTTATTCAGGCAAACCTCCAATTCGCCCACTCGAGATTTGAGGGCTTTATTTTCCAGAATAATTTTTTCGAAATTACTGGCTTGACTTTCGAGGTGTTTCTCAATTTTCGATAATTTTTCATTAAGCTCAAAATTGAGCTCTCCATATTTATCGAGGGTTGTTTTTATGTTTTTTATGTCTTCATTGACACTCGAGTCTAAGCGATTTACTGCCGCCAGTATTTCTGAGGCGGACGGCTCAGTGTTAGGTTTTTTGGTCTGGTCACAATTAGGGCATACCCATGTTTTTTTGTGTGCTTTTAAGGCTTCAATTTCTTTTTCACTTAGATTGAGACACCGACCGTGAAAAATAATTTTGCATTTTACACAACAAAGATTGTTTTTATCTTCGCGTGCAATAGTATTATTGCAAATATTGCACTGCACCATATTTAATTAAAATAGTACAATTAAATGTAAAGAAATACCGGGAGAGAGTTGTTTTGATGAACGCAGTAAACAGTGTTGTCTAATGCTGTAAGGATTAGTAGACGTTTAAACTCCCGTAGCTTCTAGAACTCTATTGGATTCACGACACTTTCTTTAAGTAGATAAAAGTGAATATATTACACTGATCACAGTGAATACTAATACTGTTAAAAGAAAAATACACTCAACTATAATGAACTGTACTGAACATTAAAATTTAAAAAAATCAGAACTGATAATATAAGAGAGTAATAGCGATGTGTACAGGTAGCTGTCTCTGGCCAGACTGCTATATATACATACTATTATATATTATTATATGTATATAATATTATATGTTTATAATATTATATACATATAATGTTATAAATTAATGTAGTAAATATTTTTTGTTTGTCTGTCTTAACAGGTTTTTGACTACCTTCAAGTCTCTTCGCTTATTTGATATAAGTTTTTGTGATCAGATCCAGGAGGAACTAGTTGAAGAATGGCGACTGCAATTCCCCAATGTTTCGATTAAACGTTCCTTCCAAAGTGATGGAGTTCCATCCCCATTCCAGCATTATTAATTTAATTATTACTATATCCTGAAGATTAATATCATTCTTTTTTGATATTATCACATTAGGGCAGTGGGTATATTAAGATCTTATGTGCTTGGTGCACCTTCTCAAAGTAGCTGTTATCCATTGAGACGAGCTTAATTCAAATATTCACTGGCCAACTTCTGCTTGTTGGTACTGAGAGCAGGTAGTTAAAGTTGATATTATTCTCTCTTACTGTGTGTTTGCTCACACATCTCTCTGTGATGGTTTAGTTTTATCTTTATTATAAGTTGATTAACATTGATTGGTTTCCTGGTAAGACTGATGCAATAGGAGGACACCCAATATGGAAAGGAAATAAAAAATTGTCAACTAATAGCATTAAATGCAAAAACTTAAATATATTCAATCTGTTACAAGATGGAATTATTAACCTTTTATGTTTCTTAAAATATTTAGTTATTCTTTTTTTAATTACTATATTTTGTTATTATAGTAATTATTTTATCAAAATATTGGTAAATAATTATTTTCATAGAAAACCTCCCTCATGTAACATTGTACATTACAATTTATTAACTAATGTGGTTATCACACAAGTGTTATATTAGCTGTCACTAATTTATCTTTTTTCTTTCTTTCTCTCAATTCTTTAATATTACTCATTGTAATATGATACCTGATATCTTCATTTTTATGAGACATTGAATTAATAATTTTAGTGTGTAATGTTACATAAAGGAAGCTTTTAGTGATTTAATATTATATGCTATTTCTATTATTGTTATGTTCTAATTTAATTAAGTTTAATATTGTTGATTTCAGTTTTGATACAATTTTAATTTATACATTTTTAAATTCAGAATCGTTATCAAATGAAAATTATGGTCGTTTAAAAATATATTTATTTTTTAACTTTTTCCTATTGGTTGTTCTTTCAGATCTCAGACAATATATTGTCAAATATTTGGTATTTAGTTATTCACATTTTTTAAATAAATATTTTATTGTCATGTTTTTGCTTATTATACTTTTTTATATATAAAATGAATTATATATATATAAATATATTTATGTCAGAATCACTCATTCTAAGTAATTATTGTGTCTTTAAAAGACAGTATTGATATTCTAGAATTAATATATAATATAATACAAAGATTTATAAATATTCAATGTGCTAAATGAGTAGAATCTATAAAAATATAATTTGTATTTTGTATTAATAAATATCTATTTCCTTTACGTTGTTATATTTATCCACTCTGGCCCAGTCAGTTTAATCTTTAAAAGAAAAAGTATGTTTATTTATTTAATATATTTTTTTATAAATATTAATGAAGTGAAGCTCTTCTTTTAGGCCTAGTCCCTACTCACTCTGAGAAGACTGGTCAGGTGAGGCTTCACTCTCTTCTACACTGATCCTTTCAAACCTTTGTCTCTTTGTGATCCTATATTCTTAACTTGCAGATATTCTTAACTTTTTTATTTTATAAATAAAAACATATTGCTAACACTAATTTGTAAACAATTCAATCGGCTACACAGCTAATAAAATGTATTTTGTCTAGTTTAATTAGAAAATAAAAATCTAAATTAAAAAAATTTAAAAAATATGTATTAACGGTTTCATGCGATAACTGCTGTTGTTTTTCAATTAATAGATATAGTTATAGGAAAATCAGAGAAGATAATGCAAATCTAGAATTTTTTTCTGGTGGAAAAAAACATTGTTATCTTCCATGAAAGGTTAACAAAATAATAATCTGTTTAGTATTCCTATTTTTTGGTTCGAAATAATTTTCAATGTATTTACTAAAAAATCAATCATTTTAAAAAAACTGAATTGCAAGATTAAATAATGGATGGCAGTATAGAGCCCTTTTTATCAAAGCATTAACATCTCTCTAAAACTTCATCTCATCATAACATACAACTTTTTTCTCTATGAAAATATTCAGAAACGGGATGTTTTCTCCTTAAATTAATGAGATACTAAAAACTCATGAATACTCATTTGTTTTCCACTTGAATCATAGCATAATAGGGTATATTAAAAAAAAAAAGACCGTTTTTCAACCAAATATTTGTATTATTATTTCTTTGATATAAAATACAATTAATACTCAAAGTACAGTGTTGTCTACCATCATTAACCAATTGCCCGATCCCACACTGATACCATTCTTTGGAATGCTGTCAAAGAACTCTTGGATTGCAATTTCTTCTTCTTCAATGGATGCTACAGTCCTTGTAAAACCTGGGCCTCTGCCACCACTCTCATCCACTCCTCACTGTCCATAGCAAGATTGCTCTAATTTCTGATCCCCAGCCTCCTCAAGTCTTCTTCCAGATCATCCAACCATCGGTGTCTGGGTCTACTGCTTTGTCTTTTCCCTCCTGGAATACCATTCAGCATCATTTTTGGAAGTCTACTGAGCTCCATTCTTTCAACATGACCCAGCCATCTGAGCCTGCCCTTCTTAATGAGTCTAAGGATGTCTGGCTCTCCATATAACTCCATTAAGTCTGTGTTGCTTCTTATTCTCCATCTATGCTGCTCTCTGACAGCTCCAAAGATCTTCCTTAGGACTCTTCTCTCCCACACCAGCAAGGCTCTCCTGTTTTCCTTGGTCATAGTCCACGTCTCACTGCCATACAAAATGACCGGTCTAATCACCGTTTTATATATTACTATTTTTGCCTTCCTGGACAGACTTTTTTATCGGAGCGCCTTTTGCAGAGCATAGGAACATCTAGTTCCTGCAACCATCCTGCCTTTTATTTCAGCTTCCATATTGTTTTCTGTCACTACTCCGCCCAAGTACTTAAATTTATCACAGTTTGCAAAACGTGTCTTCTCCCAATTCAACAGTATCTCCTCTTTCTCTGGCATGCCGGGATGTTTTCATATACCTCATCTTTTCCATGCTTATAATGAGTCCTAACTCTTGAGCTGCATGCTTGAACTCTTCTATAGCGCCGGCTAGTGCTGCTTTAGTTCTTCCTGATATAACAACGTCATCAGCATATGCCATGTGTTGCTTGAGCCTATTATAGATGGTACCACCAGGATTCGTCTTGATTTTTCGAATTGCAGCCTCTAAAGCGAGATTGAATAGTACAGGAGATAACGGGTCCCCTTGTCTTAAGCCACTGTTAATCTCGAAACTATCTGATATACCCACTCTGGTTTTGATCATACAACTTGTCCTTTCTATGGTCATTCTGGTCAATCTTATTAGTTTACTAGGAATCCTCAGTGACTGTAAGGCATTCAATAGCTTACTCCTGTTCACACTGTCATTCGCCTGCCGGAAGCCAATGAATAGGTGATGCAGGTCTATCTTATATTCATACGCTTTCTCCACTATTTGTCTGACAGAGAAAAGGTGGTCGAATACGAGAAAGTAGTCGATCGTCCTGGGCGAAAACCACTCTGGTACTCTCCCAGAATTCTTTCATTCCTCTTCACTAGCCTTCGACATATTACCACTGAAAGGATTTTATAGACTGTGGGTAGGAGCGCTATTCCCTTGTTAGTTCTCACATTTGAGTTTATCTCCCTTTTCAAGTTTAGGGACTATGATAGCCTCTCCCCATTCATCTGGCATTTTTTCTTCTGACCATACCGTCCCGGATTACAATTTCAACTTCCGCAAAATTATCAATTTTTTTCTCTTGAAGAAAATGGGCCATGGATATAAATATGTAGAAATCCAATGATGCGAGGTCTGGACTATATGGTGGATGAGGCAAGAGTTCGAGTGCATGAAGTTCTTTAAACTTTTCTTTGGTTCGACGGGAAGTGTGAGCAGTAGCATTATCTTGGAATAAAATTCGTTTCAGTAGATCAAAGCAGGATGATGCTCTGACAACTTCGCATACAATCTTTCCAGTTGCTCACAGTAGAGTTAAGAATAAATAGAGCATCCATCAGAAACAAATTTGTGATGAATAACACCTTCAAAATTAAAAAAAATAAAAGCAAAGCATGAACTTTTTTTCAAATTGTCCCCTTTTATCAACCGGAAAAGCAGTTTGATCGCGATCTAGCCATTGCTCACATGTATTCGGGTTTCTCCAATAAACCCACTTTCCATCACAGGTCACAATCTTCCGGTAAAATCTCATATCAGAAGGGTTTTTCAATAAATTTTCACAAATGTCTAACCTCTTAGCTGATTGCTGAGGAGTCAGTTCTTGAGGGACCAGTCTACTGCTCTTTTTCCCCTTCCCCATGGAGAGTAGATGGCGACTAACAGTATTTTTCGACACACCACATTCTGGCACACCTGGCAAATTCCCGAGTTCTTGTTTACGGATTTGACCCAACAGTTTCCTGTAGAACCTCATAAATATCCATCAATGGTCGCCGGGAGCCCTTTTTCTTTTCCAACGCCGTATCTCCACTGCTAAAGTTTTCAAACCAACACCGCGCAGTACGATGGTGAAGGACACCCTCCTCATCATATTTAATAATTTCACGAGCTGCTTCAACGGCTGTGAAATTTTTGTTCCAATAATGCCTTAAAATTACGAGAATTTCGTAGGACGCTTTCATGTTTCTTCCTTGAAACCAATAACTAAACTGAAGATTTTTTTTGAAAAAGTCGAGTGGGATTAAATAAGCTTAGAGTATGCTCTAAAGGGATCACTAGCGGATCCAGGATTTAATTTTGGGAGGGGCTTCAGTCCGAAAACTTATTTTTCATATATATATATATATATATATATATATATATAATAGACTATTAATTTATTAATATTAATAAATTTAAAAAGTGAGAGAAAGGTTCATTTGCTATTTTGTTTATTTTACAAAACAAAGAAAAAGTAATTTTAGAAGTTGGCGTTTTTTTTTTCAGAAATGCAGAATACCACAATTTTTTTAATATTTGAAATAAATATAAAACATAATTTGAAATGATAGAACTATTTTTTTAAAAGTATTTAATCTAAAATTAATTAGCGCGTTTTCTTTCTATGGATGTTTGTAAATTTTACTTTTTTATGTCCTAAATAGTCCAAATATTAACCCCTCCCTCAATAGAATAAAAGTTAAATAAAGTATCACCCACCTACCCAAACATATTGCCATTTTACCATTTTTTTTTAAATCGGGGGGAGGGAGAGAAGGGGGGATTAACCCATCTTCAAAAAAATATATATTTAAACAAAGTATCATCTCCCTATTCAAACATATTGCCAAGAGGGGCGCCAGAAATTTGGTATCGCCCAGTGATTTTCAAGATCTGTATATATGGTTTAATTGCTCAATATAGCCCTTACAAATTCAATATATTGATGAAATTCAATATTGACCGAGTAAGGGGCCCTTTAGGTTTTCTTATTTGGTTTAATATAAAATATTTGTAATATGTAATATAAAATTATAGGAATGAAAAATAAATATCAGGATTTGCAGTAAAAATTTGTTTATATTTTAAATTATTTAGAGAAAATTTGACTGCAAATTGTGACAATTATTTTCATCTTATAATATTACTATAGTATCGTTATATCATTAAAAGAAATAATCGCGATTTCTACAAACAAAATTAATCAAACATTGTGCTAAAATGTTGTTTCGTTTCTCTAAATAAGTATAGATCATCATTTTTTCTGTTTACGTAATATATTTGGAGATTTTTTACATAATATGACTTTGAAATAAATATAATAAAAATAATCTTAATATCAATTTCGTTCTTTTCTTTTCAGTTCTAGCCTGTAATTTTCATAGCATTTTATTCTAGATTGCTAGTCGTATTTATCTACTTTATCTATTTATTGAAATTATCTTCAATCAAACGTCAAAAACACAGAAAAGTATTCTTTTCAATTAATTAAACCAGAAAAAAAATACATTAATGTTGAAATAAACCTTCATTGATAGGTTTGAAAAAGTAATAGGTAGGTCTGGCGGTCTAGTCCTTACGTCACGTTTCAAGTTCCCCCACCACGCATTTCTGAGTGAGCGAACCTGGTAGTTTTATTGACCTTGTGTCAATCTAACGAGGTTACATTGGCCCAATAGTTACATTGCTGATTTGTGCAATGGAAGAATGCCTCTTAAGACATTTATGGTAGGCAGATAGAGAATATGATCTTGTGATAATGTTTTTCTCTTGACATTTTATAACTACTCCGGAAAGGCTATCCATCACCGACCAGATCTCAATTAGGTTGATTCTTGAGGAGGCATGTGAATATCAAATCACTACACACCATTTGTTTATTGACTTTAAGTCGGCCTACGACAGCGTTGAACGATCAGGCTTCATCTGATTAATATTTCACCCAAACTAAAACGGCTCGCCAAAACGACGATGAAAGAGGCAAAATACATAGTGCAGATTGGATCAAACATCTCGAAAGAATTTGATTTCAGTTTAGGATTAAGAAAAGGAGATGCACCAGCCTGTCTAATTTTTAATCTTGCTGAAGAAAGAATAGTGAGGGGAATCTGGAATACAAACGACGGCCATGATTTTCGACAGAACCGTCCAGATATACGGATACACGGATGATTTCGATGTTGCTTCCAGATCTCAAACTGAGGAGGTGAGGGCGGGGTGGCCGAATGGGGTAACGCGTTTGCACAGCACCGCGGGTTGCCTGGAAACAGATAACCAGAGTTATGAGATACGAGTTCGCGTCCCGGTGCCGGAAGGGATTTTTAATTCCCCGACCTCACCCCCTCCCTTCCTCCCCCCAGCCCGATAAAACCCCGTATAGCCTAAAAGGCGAGGAATGGGAGGAAAAAAAGAAAAAAAAAAAAAAAAAGAAAGAATAATATAAAGATCTCAAACTGAATTGAAGGAAGCATTTTTTCAACAAGAGAACTTAGAAGTTTAGACTCGTTGTCAACGAATTAAATACTAAATATATGCAAGCTGAACCAGAGAGTTTCCAGGAATGCTAGAATGACGGACTAGATGGCTGCTGAATAGGGAATTGAGATTGATGACGAAAACTTTCGTTGAGAGCCCTGATTCGGCAATGCATTCTTACGCCGTATATCTATAAAAGGATTAAAATCGTCAATTATGGTATTATCTAAAACTATTAGTGACCCTTAAACTAAAATTTTAATAATAGGTTAAAAATATAAGTAACAAACATATCCCTTGAACTGAAGTGACATAGGTAATTTGTTAGACTATATACTTTAATATATTGAATACTTTTCTCCCAAAAACCTAGTGAATCATTGAGCTTAATCATATATTTTAATTTGGCATAATCATATATTTTTCATAAATTTGTTATAATATTTTTACTTTTCTGACTGAAATAAATAATTTATAGCACATTTTGTGTAATACGATTTTTTTTTTAAACATTTGTATTCTTTGGCTTTGACCTCTATGGAATTGACACTCATCTGTAAGTAGTGTGCAAAAGCCACCTCCTCACTGTTGTTATTAAAGTTGGATTGAAAAGCTGTTACGGTAAATTCTCATTATACGAGATCGTTATCTGTTTGAATGTGTACGGAACATTATATAATTATAGTCTAATATTTATGATTTGTGAAAGTTCTTCAAGTTGCTAAAATGGGAGGAGAAGACAGTGAAAGAAACCTTGCTGAAGAACATGAAAAAAAAGAAGTTAAAAGTCAGGTTCATTCTGTGGAAGTGAACGTTGATCAAGGGGGTAGTTTATTTAATATTAATTTATTTCTTCTTAGGCTGTTATATTGAACAGTTCAAGTCTTATTGTCTTTTTATTCAGATGATACTGTGCAGGTTTTCGATTCCAATTTACCAAAAACTGTTTCCCTCCTTCATGGACCAAATGGATCCAAGCTATATTTGGTTGGGACAGCTCATTTCAGTCTGGAGAGTCAGGAGGATGTCAGCAAAGTAATGTTTATTTAATTTTTATTTTAAGTATTTGACATGAATTAATGACTAATTGCTAATAGTGTTTGTTATAGGTTATTAGAACTGTTAAACCACATATTGTAGTGGTAGAGTTGTGCAGATCTCGAAGCAGCATTCTCAGGCTAGATGAAAAAACTATTGAAGAAGAAGCTTGCAATCTTTCATTTGGTAAGATTATTAATCCTGACAACTGATTTTAAACATTATTTCTATGAATAACTACGAACTCTGAATTCTCACCTTACTTAAGATATAAAATTAATCAGTTAGTCCTAGGTTTAATAACAGCCAGAATTATCATGTCATGTACATGTCGCTGCTAGTAAGCCTTATCAATTTATTTTTAATCAATAGATCGCTTATGTTAATTAAAGTTCTATTGAGAATGGACCCATCTTTTACTTCAATTAATTGAAAAAAATTAATTCTGTTGAATTATAATTTACCTTCCAATATAAGAAAGTTGATGATAAGTATTTTAATTCCCATCCCATTTTTAATGTGTTTAAAATTATTAAACTAAAGTTACAAGTTCTAACTTCAGCATAAAAGATTTTTTGTAAACCAGTCAAGAGAAAAAAAAGGAGAGTAGAAAGAGTGTTTCGTTCCCATCTTATAACATAAGGCTATGTTCGTCTTTGAAGAATTAATGATTTATGCCATCAGTTTATGGCAGAAAGTCATGAAGAAATATTTTATAATTAAAACATTAGGTAGTTTGATAATTTATGCTTTTATAAAATTAGAAAATTGGCCACTTAGTGATAATATTTAAAATTAATAAACAAATTTGTGTTGTTTTTATGCACTTTAGGAGTTAATATCGTTGGCACCATATTAAAATAATGAATGTGAGCCTGTTTAACCTTACACATTTGTTACTTAAACATAGTGTCGATAATATGATCAAAATTTATCAATATATATTATAAATTTTAGCACCTTGAAAAGTGTACTTCATGACTTTTTGCTATATAATGACAATGTTTTCTTTTTTGTGGATCTATGCTTATTTATCACTTGTTGGATTTATTTTATATTTTATTATGACAGCCAAAAAAATGTAGCTATAATTTACATCTCTGATATCAATATTATTTAATGTTTAAAGTTGGATTCAAGTTAAATCTAGAATGGATAATGAATTACTAAATTTAAATACTTATGCTTTAATTGAGTATTTTTTTAAATAGCCAAGATGAAAGAGATTGTCAGGGAGAATGGATTCCTGCAAGGAATGATGAATATCTTACTATTAAGTGTATCAGCTCAACTTACCAGAGATCTTGGGATGGCGCCCGGGGGAGAATTCAGGAGAGCATTTCAAGAAGTAATATTTTAATTTTCTTTTCTTTAATATATTGATGGTTCAATAATGTTTTTCTGAATTATATTTAAATAAATCTCAGAGCAGTCATGCTTAATGGATGCTACAAGTTAGGTGATCTCAGCCCTTCGTTAATTAGAACTCTGATTGGCTCATTTATCTCCCGATTTATATATATATATATATATATTTTTTTTTAATGTTATAATCGACTAATGCAGTCAGTTCCTTTGTTTGTTGTGATATGAAATCCTATTGTTATCTGTGCCTGTTTCATTGAAAGATGCAGATATTATCTTCTAATCGATAGCTTCTGTCCAGTTCCAGTCCATTAATTTCTAACTAGACTAAACAATATGTTCAGAAGTCATCCCCTGAACTTCTTAAAAATTAATTGACGGCGTTTCTACCACCATATTAAAATTGTTTGAGAACCTGTAGAATTAATCTGCTCTGATGTGAGTGAAAAGCACTCTCATAAAACCTGTTTTCCTTCATTTATTTTTACTTTCACTTACTGATATATGAAATATATATATATATATATATATATATATATATATATATATATATATATATATATATATATATATATATAATGCTATTGTTAGTATTATTTAATATTTAATTGTATAGATAACGTACCACCGTACCACCATCAACCTGTCAAAATGTTTCCTCTCTTTTTTTTTTTTATCAGTTAGATATTTATTTAACTGCACAAGTTTTTTCTATATTCATATTCAAACTAGTACCAGCCCAAAATATTCAGTTTTAAGATCTACAAGTTATATTTAATTCCTACTAAATTACCACGATCAAACAAAACGTAGTTTGTATAAATTATTATTTTATTTGTTTTACTCAAATATTCACTTCCAAAGGCAGTCGATTGTAGAATTTAGATGAAACTATCCAGAGTGAAGCTTTCCTCTAGCTTGAAAAAGTAATGGGATCAATAGTGAAAATCAGTGTGCTTCTTTAATTCCTAAATCCATTTTTCTTCTCACCAACCTAACTTTGTGTCATTCTAAGTAGAGTCTACTGTAATTTAAAATTAGGATAACTATAATAGTTTTATTGTAATAATAAAATTAAGAACTGAAGGGCTATTTAGATAGTTTGTTTCTTATTCTCTATTATGATCTTTTCAATAGGTAAAGAAAATCCCAGGGTGTATGCTTCATTTTGGAGATCGTCCTATTCATATCACACTCAACAGAGCACTTGCTGTATTATCCTGGTGGCAGAGGTTGAGGCTTGCATACTCACTAGTGTTTGAAAATCATACTTTTACGTGAGTGTACTTCCTATTTAATTTTTCTATCACTACGTTTATAAAATTTTATGAAAATTTATTTTTATTGTGCATTGGTCAGTCTGAGCCACAAGTTAAATATTGTTAAGCTTCATAAATATATTTTTTAATGTTGAATTTTGAATTATTTAGAAAAGCTGATGTGGAGCAGTTTAAAGAATCCGATTTGCTTGCTTCAATTTTAAAAAAAATGTCAACTGAGTTTCCCGAGATCGGAGAAGTTTTTATTAGAGAGAGGGATCTCTATTTGACATTCAGTCTTCAATCTGCAGTATCCTGTGGTTTTTACAATGAAGCCAGTTAGTAAATTAATATTTATTTAATTACTTAGGTTTAAACTAATTGAGAAGTGGATTTTAGATTATGATGACGTTCGATTAAAAAACTATTTAAAAAAAAAAATCAGTGTCAGTTATTATTTTTCTCTAATGCTAATCATTACGATTATAGTACAAAGCAGTTAATTACTTTATTATTTTAATGTAATTAAATTGAGATATAAAATTTATTGGAAGAATAATTGACAAAATTATTTCAGATGTTTGTCAGCCAACAGTTGCAGTTGGAGTTGTTGGGATTGGCCACACTCCAGGAATAAAAGAATTATGGATGAAAGTTTCAGATGAAGATGTACAACCTATTCTAGTGTAATTTATTTATTTATTTATTATTTTTAATTTAAATAAATATAGTAAGTAACAGGTAAATTTACAAAAAAAAAAAAAAAAACTCTTAAGTTAAATCTATATATATTGTAATATTAGTAATTCGAAATAATTACTGTAGGGATTGTTCGAATAGCTGAAAATATTATATATGACTGGATACATATGCATATACTTACTTTAGAAAAATTGAATTTGTATGTATAAAAGAATTTTTTGGATGAAATCAGTTTTTGATTTTTGGAGATTCATCCTCACTACTTCTTCTATGAGAAGGGTATGTTGCTACAGCATTTTGTTCACTGTTTACCATAAAATACAGTGATTGAAACAAGATGCTGCATGTTCATGCCGTCATTCTGTTTTTATAAAATATATAAGAGATTCTAAGAAAATCTTAAAAAATGGGAAAAACCAACCATGGAAAGGATTGTGCCTATGAACTATAATAATTCCTAAAATATCACCTAACCAACAGGGTAACAACCCTTTTTCATTTTTTGAACACAACTTTCTATCTATCATTCTTATCTTTATTTTTATTTTAAATTTAGTTCAGACTATTGTGATAGAACTGTATGAGATTGTGTCTAAACAATGATGTGGGAGTTAATATTACATTCAGTGAATTTTTAAATATAAGATTAAGCACAATGAATTATTTTAATTAATTATGTTATGATTAAATTCAATTAAAATAATATAATAAACTTTTCTTTTTTATATTGTTTGATTATAGAATTGAGCACAAGAAAAGCCGGGGAATAGTGAAGAAGACTATAATAGTTGGTGGAGCTGCTCTGCTATGTTATCAGATATCTAAGAGAGTAAACTTTGGTTCCGTATTCAATGAGTTAATCCACTGGCTTAGACATTGATATTGGAAAACATATATTATTGCTGACATATGTTGATGACATTCCAACTGTTTGAAGAATAAATAAGGCTGTTATCTACATCTTCCTTAATATTTTATATAGGTGACCATTCTCATGTTTTATGATAAGAACGAGAATATTAACTTAAAATGTACTGTGAATAATGGGAAGGGGAGGTTGTTAACTGTAATTAGAAATTTTTCTACTTCCATTAATATTGTAAAATTATTGGATCTGGGGACCTAAACCATCTTACCTGACAATATCCAACTGTATTATGACGTAAGACATGGATCCTTATAATATTGTTATATTTAGTTTTTATAAATTAGACGAAAAATAAAATGTATTTTTTTGATTATAAATAAATATATCTATGACTAGAATGAAAATCAAAACTAATTTTTATTTCTCTACCATCCCCTTTACAGGATTGTCTGAAGAATATAATATATAACATATGTACAGGAAATACAACTATATTTCAGACACTCAGCCTTATCTGTTTCTACAAGAAGTGTTCTGTGCCATTGTTGTCTTTAAATTGTTATAAGTAGAAATCAGATTGTCATGTTATTGCTCATTTTATTCCCTTAAAATAAATATATAAAAACTTCAAACCTGAATATCTATCTATTTCACGATCTGTAGAATAACATATTGAAATTTAATATGTTATGCTGTTTTTGGCCTAAATTGCACACTTTTGTTTTTATTACATTAAATTGCACATTTTGAGTTTTTTTCTGCACGTTTTCCAAATATTTATTGCACTAAGATTCGGTTTTTAGTTACAAGTAAAGAATAAAAATCCAACTTCGCATTCCATAGCAAAACCTACTATTACAAAACCTACAAATAAATAATTAGATTAGTATCTTCCCAGTGAAATTAGAACATTGTGCACTAATCATTTTTGAAATATAATAGAGCTTATGTTAATTAATAATTTATAAATGGAACTTAATAGCTTTTTCTTATGTTTCTAATAAATCGCCCAGGTATAAAATTTCATTTATTCAGTTAGAAATTTAATATCCTATTAAAATACAAAAACATGTGAATGTAAAAAAAAAAAGAAACTATATTTACAGTTACAATGCTGTTAACAGAAGATTTATAATTAGAATTTATTTTATCGTTTCAGTATCTATTAGGTCTAGCTTAGGAAAGGAAACGTTTTTTTCAAGCCAGTTTGAAACTGCTAGGAGAAAAAAGTCCTTATAGTTAGGTGCTATGAGCTGTATCCCAATCGGTAGGCCATTCGCAGACAATCTTACAGGAACTGATATGGCTGGACAGCCTATAAATTATATTGAAGTCATAAATAAAGTTAGGTAAATTTTAATTTGACAAAATTGATAGTAAAAATAATTCATACTGACAAGGAGTAAAATAAAACTCGCTTTTCTTGATTGAAATTAATTTCAACTATTGAAACATCTGTCTGTAATAACATAATTACCTTTATATCTATTAACATAATTATCTTTATAACCTTTAACATCGCTATATTATCTTTCAAATTAGCATCTGGAGTGTTCAATGAGATATTTAATACTCAAGTTACTGGAGAAAGTAAAGAAAACAGATTTTCACAGGACCTCCGGAGAATACTTTTAAGCATTTAAAAAAAAAAAAAAAAGAAGAAAATTTTAATGGGTCACAATGATTTCTTACCTATTGGGTTGCCCAGAAAATAGTGCAGGATTTTGGTTTAAAAAGAAAGATTTACAACTATTTTATTTAACCATAATAGTATCCATGACTATCAATGCATTTCTGCCAACGTGTTGGTAACTTTTCCATTCCCTCGGAATAGAATTGATAAACTCCAAAAATGCATTTTCTAATTCCCTTTATCCATTATTTTTTGTCAAGTAAGTTGTGGTCTAGGTGTTTAAAAAAATGATAATCCGTAAGCGAGATGTTCGGAGAGCAGGGCAGATGTGGCAAAGTTTCATATCCAAGCTGCAACAGTTTTTCTGATGTCACACGAGAGACATGTGGCCGGGCGTTGTCATGCAATAATAGGCCTCTTCCAATTGAGCAAAGATGGCTTCATTAATGTCAATTTTAGATGCATTGCATTAATTTGTTTACAATACGAGTCAGCGTTAATGGTTTTTCCAGGATTTAAGAAGCTGTAGTGTATCAAACCAAATGAAGCCCACCAAACAGTAACCATTACCTTTTTTTGATGAGTTTGAGGCTTTGGAAAATGTTCTGCTGCTTCTCCTTTGTCGAGTCTCTGTCCAGAATGTCTACTGTTATCGTAAAGTATCCACTTTTCATCACAAGTAACAATTCTAGGCAGAAAAGGGTCAGCCGTTTCTGTTTCGGCAAAAAAATGTGGCACAAATTTCATAACGCTGGTTTTTTTGGCAGTCATTTAATGAATGTGGAACCCAACTTTAAAGCTTTTTTACCTTTTCAATCTTCTTGAGGTGGTCATCTACAGTCGATTTCCTAAGGTTAATTTTCTCTGCAAGTTCTCGAACAGTTGTTCTGGGGTTTTCTTGCAACAAAGCCTACAGAACATCGTCATCAAGAGAGGAAGTCCTTCCACGACGACCTTCTTTGTCTTTAAGGCTGAAATCTCTCTCCCGAAATTTTTTGAATCACAGTTGAACAGTAAACTCATTAATGCTGCTCTCGCCCCAGACATGATTGATGTTTCTGCTAGTCTGGGTCCCATTCCGGGCCAAGTTTAATCTTGTAAAACAAAATTATACTAAAATCATGCGTTGACATCTTATTAAAGACTGGATTATTTGTAAGCAGCGAAATGCAACAGAGGTAACCAAACATTATTGTTTGGAAGAGGATTAATTAGTGTTGACATTCATACAAATGAATAATCCAGTAAACACAAACAGCTTGTTATATAGAAGTGTATTTTAAAGAAAATCCTGCATTATTTTCCGGACAACTCAATAGTAGCAATAGGAAGATAAAATTTTAAAAAAAATAGGTACCATCTAATCCTTGATATTTTATTTAACTACCCCTCCTGCTTGAATGAATATTCTATTCCAAATTATGGTTAAGGAAATATGGGAAATATTGTGGGCATACTAGAACCATGCGAGGATACCGGCCAGATCTAGTCAGTCCCATAGCTGGGTCGATATACAAAGGACAAAAATTATAATGGCTTTCTTCATTTTCTGATTCATTACTCAGAACTATAGCAAATATCAGTTCCTCAAATACTTTTTAAATAATAAAAAATGACTAGATGTAATAGTACCACAAAGACAGAATAGAGCAATCTCTAAATAAGAGATTTTAAGTGTGACCTAAAAGTTGCTGAAAATATTCGTTAAACATTTGGTAGACCAAAATAAAGTGAGATATTGCTTTAAGTTGAAAGCAGTTAATGAGTTAAAAACCTGTTACAAATTATCTTCCTTGGATTGGAGCAGGCTTTGTTTCCTTCCATGAATCTAATATAATTACTTTTGTTTTTATTTTAATTGTTTTGGGTTTGGCTTACAAATAAGTTGAGATAAGTGCCTTACAAATAGTGTAATGTTAATTCATTTAATCATATTTACCTGCAAGATTGCAAGGTTGAGTGCAATAGTCCTCTGAAGAGCATTGCTGCCTGTTATCAAGCTTACAGAACTCAGAGAGCGATGGTGCTTCTGTCAGAGTGGTAGGCGTTATAAGGATATCTACAGACTTCCAAACCTCGAGGAAATCATTTACTATCAGCCTTCGAACCTTAAGAGCTTTTTCAAAGTACTTTTTATAATTCCTAAAAATAACATTATATTTAAAATACTTAGGGAGTTCTAAAAATTGATGTTAAACTTTTTCTTTTTTAAAATTTTTTTTCCACCATATATTGTATTTTTCAGGCTATTTTAAAACAAATACATCTTAAACATTTGATATATTATGTTAGAATAAAATTAGATATAATATAAAACTTTAAGAAATTCTTTACAGAATATTCTGAAGATAGGAATAGGAATGATACAACGAAATGTTAAATTTTAATATGAAAATCAGAAGATGTAAAAAAATAAAAAAGCTCTATAATGATGGAGATATTGTTGACCATAAATCAATTTCAGAAAGTTGATCGGATGTGCGGTGAAAGATGAAAAATTTCAGATGAACCCTAACGATGGCCTAAGACTTGAGCAAAAATGTGGTCACACAAGAAAATATAACCTTTCTGTTTGTATTTTTTTCAATTTGACCACACCCCAATCAACTTATCCTACTAAAAAGATCTGTAGTTATGATATTCAAGGGCTCTGATAGCAGTGATACTCTATTTGAATTATTTTTAACTCTATTATTGTACTTAATTTGAAATGTTTCTATAATAATCTTTTAAATATGTATAAATATAAATTTTAGTAATAAGAACAAATTAGGAATTTTGAAGTTTAATATAGCTTTATTTAAAAAATAAAAATGATTTATAGCAGAATTACATTTCCAGAGATTACTAATTGAAATTAATGACTACTAAAATTAATTTAAATCATAAAAAAAATCAGTTTTTTTTTGTACAAAATTTCCAAAATGATTAAAATTATAGCAATAATTCACCAAAATGTTTGGTTCTCTCAAAATATCATTTTGGATATGGTACTGTTTAGAAATGACATCCTGTTATAAAAGTAAACAGGAGTCAAAGTTTATAACTAAATCCAAACTATTTTGAATCTCTATTTGTGTACCAACACACTGCTTTAAATTATTAATCACTCAATTAATGTAGCATTGAAAATAAAAAAATAAATTGATGTTTTTCTAAAGACAAACCTCTGAAGCAAGAAGTAGTTGCCTGCAAGTATCCTAGCCTTGACAACTTGACCGAGGGCAGTGGCCCGCGCTTCAGCGTAGAGGCTCTCCACAGATGTTCCCTCATTAGGTCTATATCCATATTTAAGCCCATCATACCTGGCCATGTTGGAGGCAACTTCGGCTTGATTTAGTACAGAATAGCAACTTATTGAGTACTTGGTGTGCGGCAATGATATCTATATATATATATAACAATCATTTTTAACTAAACTAAATAATTTTGATATATAAAAACGAATGCAGTGCTCAAATATTTCAAAATAAATGATAAAATAATAAAAATCATCCAGTAAGATGGAACAAAAAATGACCACTGCTCATTATTATCATTATTTTTTTTTTTACTCACAGCTTTTTAAAATAAATAACATGTAAACTTATGAAACAAATTAGGAATACAGTTTTAAACCCTTTTATTTTAATAAAATATTAAATAAAGGTTTTTCGTTCTCTTATTTGTGTTAGGCTTATACACAATGCAAAATTGTCCTAATACAGTTTTTAATTAATTCATAGACAGATCATATTGTCCTAAAAAGCATAGATAAATAATAATAATTAAGTAAATAAAACTGCATATTTACTTTTTAATCTAACATATTTTGATTTTTTTTAAAACCTTTTTCACTGAAGATCCAGCTTTTTCAAAGATACTTGCAACCATTTCCCATGCAGCAAGTACTTCTTCTGATAGACCTGAGGGATGGTACTCCATTGGTATCCCAATTCGAATCTGACTGGGATCAATAGGATAAGGTTTTTCTGGTGTTATATCAATATCTACAGTTGTACTGTCAAAAGGATCTCTGCCGCAAATGACTCCTACAAATATATGTACTAAATTCATTTTTGTTTATATTCCTTGATATTACTTTATTTTAAAGATAATTATGAATGAAATATTTAATATCTAATAATCAACTTAAGTTTTGTTATTTCTACAACACAAAAATCTTTATATATTTTTATAATAAAAAAAATTTTACATGCAATTTTTTATGCTTTAAAACTGAAAAAATTTAAGCTGATAAAACACACTGAAAATAAGCCATAAGACAATAAGAAAACTACTTAAACAAGTTATTAGAAGTAGAGAGAAATTGTCATCTCCATAGAAATGGCATCCTTTCAACTGATAATTTTGAATGACAGATGGTCTACAAGCTTTATAGATTTCTATACTAGATAACAAAAATAAAATCTGGAAATGTTTTCTATTCTCGTTATATGACCTGTCCATCCCAGGCGACTCAGTTTGAGGAACATAATTACCTCATGTTCATTATATATTTCATATAACTTCTGGTGAATTCTTGCCACTCATTTTTAACTTTGATCCTGAGTCCTCCCAATATTTGATGCAGAATTTTCCTTTCAAAAATGATAAGGTCTTGCACTATGGGTTTAGTGGTAGCTCAAGACTCATGGATGCATATAATAGAACTCATTGGATCAGGGTAAAACAGAGATTTATTTTAGTTTGCCTCAAAGGGGGTTTTCTTTTACAGTGGCACAACAGTCCAAAGTACACACTGTTTGTAGAGAGGATCTTTTTCTTCACCTTGAGATGTGGCATATTATCTTGTGAGAGCACTGAAGCCAAGTAAAGAAATTCAACCTTTTCAAACTTATACTGGCTGAAGGTAATAATTTCATCTAAAGTTGGGGTCTCCTCTACTTCCTTATATTTAGTCAGAAGGGATTGAACTCAAGCCCGAGCTTCCTGACAAGAGACCATATAAGTTACCAACTATATCTAAATAACTACTATCAGATTCATGATTATTAAAATAGAGTAACTAAAGTAATCAATATTTTAAATAAAGGTATAGCTCATAGATGGGGAACCTTTTTATCAATAAAGGCTACATTAAAGTTATTCAGTGAGATATTTTAGCCACAATAATTTTTTATAATTTACTGTTGCTATTTTTATTTATAAGTAATAGGATATTCAATATTCAGGATGGTATTTAAGAGGATATTAAACTTAATTTTCAAAGTTTTTTTTTGTTCCTCCCCTTACTCGCTTTTTTATTACACCAAGGGGTAAGGACAAGGGATTAATGACAGAGTTTAAATCCCCCAGAACCGATTATATTTTTGATTATGTTGGCGGGTAACGGTGCTGCACACACGTGTTAGCTGCTTGGCCATCCCCAAATTTTTATAAAGTTTTTTTTTTGTCTCCCTACCTTGCCTTTTAAGCTACATGTGGTTTTTCCTGAGCCAGGGGAGAGGGCGGGGAAATTATGTCAAGTTAAAAGTTCCATCAGGCACCAGGATTCGATCTTGTAATTATTTTTCTAACTCATACTTCGGTTATCAGATTGCCGGACAACGTACAGGTACACGCCTTAGACCGCTCGGCCACCCCACCACCCCACCCCTATAGTTTTGTAACTTTTTTTTTTTTTTTTTTCCTCCCCTTCCTCGCCGTTAAGGTTATATGGGGTTTTTCCCGTGTGTAACCTAAAAAATTAATTCTATAGCAACATTAATGAAGACTGCGCAAAAGCTAGCAGAGCCAATAGATAACTTTGGAGGACACAGTTCCCTTAGTTGTGGTATAACTATTTACATAAAACATACTTTATTACAACAGCATATGTCAATAAATAGAGTTATTTTTTTATTTACCGTACACGGTAGTAGCATCACTGACAGTCCTAGCCAAAATAGAAGGAACGTCCATTGAATTAACAAGTGGTACAAGGCCGTGCCTGGAAACAGTAGAATAAGTGGGTTTGAACCCAACAATACCGCAGTGGGCAGCAGGATTTCTCGCTGAGCCTCCTGTATCTGATCCTAGTGCCCTGCATCAGACAAGAGAATCAATTACTAATTATAGATATTAGTAATTTAGCATATGAAAATAAATTTTCAGCTACAACCAGATTCAAGTCTGGGTTCAAGAATTAGGAGTCTAGTTATTTATCCACAAACCTAACTTAATTGTAACAAACAAATAATAAAATTTTTCATAATTTAAAATATAATAAAGGAATATTTGTTAGACCTATAAACTGCAAAATAGGTTGAGAAACACTCAGAGCTTTAATAATAAAATCACCATGAAAAATATTATTTACTGTAATAAGATTAAAAAAATTGGATTAAAGATAATGTAAATCAACAGATGTAGTTTCATTATGCATTAAAAATGCAAACTGTTAGAGAGCACATCTCACAATTAAATGCTACCTGTAATTAATAATGTTAAACTAAAGTAAACATACGCAAAGCAAGTTCCAGTGGCAACAGCAACAGCACTACCTCCAGAACTACCCCCTGCAATACGCCAGTCAACAGGAAGTTTAACTTCTTGATTATTTACAGAATATGCAATATTTGAACGCCAAATATTCTTTGTAGGTCCATGGATAGAGTCAACAGTACCTGAACTAACCAAAATGAAAATCATTACTTATGCGCTTAAATATATATTTCTTAATTAACATAAGCATACTGATTAATTGTAATAATTAACTTCAATTTGATCCTTTAGTCTTTATTTATTTATATTCAACTCCAATGTATGACATTTTCAAGGAAAAGCCTTTTGCTTATACTAGTTATACTTATGCTGGAATACAAAAAGAAATTGATTCTCTTGTCATTTGAGTGTTTATTTTTGAAAATTTTTCTTCCATCTCTTTGAAGGCTGTATTGAACACTCATCTTCGATCCCAATTCAATTTGATCAATGTATGTTTTAACATAGTTATTTAAGATTTGATTCTTATTTTTAATAATAAACTTAATGTATGATAAGAGAGCTAATTTTTTTATTTTTTAAACTAATAATCCGAAAAGTCAGAATTGGAAATAAATAAAGTAAGCCAAAAGGATCGAATTAAAGTTTATTATCAGAAATAAAGACAAAGTATTAAACAACTATATTGAAATACATATAACAATTAATTTTTTAAGGGAAGTCTAATAATATTTTAATAATTATTTTCCAACAGAACTATAAATCTTTTATTTAATTTTAAAACAATGTTTTGAGATTAAAAAAATAATTACTTAATTAAGATTTTAGAGTTTAACAATTAACGATAAAACACCCTGCCAAGAGGGAAATTAAGCTTCACTTCATACTTATTAAGGATTGATTTAGACAAGGATATTTCTTTATTAGCAAGCATTTTAATCATTCAATAACCTGTAATTTAAATAAAATTGTTATTTACTACTAAGCTTGTTGTTTTGAGTAAATAAATGATTTATTTTCAAATCAATAATATCTAGCGGAAAACTAAAAACAACTGAAACATCTAAAAGTAAACAATCTTAATAAAAATACTGAGACTTATAGTTGAAGATGAAAATATTTAACATTATTAAAAAATTTTTTATATCTCTTCAAAAATAATACAAATTTACCTTTAATCATTTTTTTAGTGATAAAGATTAAATAATTAAAATTTATGTTTACAGAATTTATTTTTCAAAAGCATTTATAGTATGAAATATACTAAATTCAATGAACACTACATACCCCATTGCAAATTCATCCAAGTTACACTTTCCAATAATAACAGCTCCTTGGTTGAACAATTTCTCGACAACTGTAGCATTATATGGAGGAACAAAATCTTTGAGCATTCGGGACCCACATGTCGTAGGAATACCTTTAGTACAGAAATTGTCTTTTATAGCAATAGGGATATTGTTCAGCCTTGAAGGATTTTGCTTGCCTGGAGGAAAAATAAGAATAAAAAAGAAATTACTTTATTAAATGTTTTGATAGAGAATATAAATATCATTGAAGTGCAATTAATCTAAAAATCCCTAAAGTGACTTTAATAAAAACAGTACTCCATTTATGAGGTCTAAACTCCTTTTGTATTGAAACAAATGCATTCAAATCTTTTATCAACTCAGTCCTTCTCAAGCAAGCACGATAAAGTTCAGCGGCATCCAGGCTACCATTTTGTAGTTGCTTCCTGACCTAAGAAAGAATGAATTTAAATTGTTGATACCATAATAAACAAACTCAAAATAACTTATTTTAATCAAAAAATAAAAGATACGTGTTAAGAATAATATATTTTGAATAATAAATTAAAGAGATCTTAAAGTCATATTACATATATATACAAAAATTTGTATTACAGCAAATGAAGAATGGTTAAGAAGAACTTGTTTATGTAAAAAAAAACTATTGAGAAGTGCAACTTAAAAAATATATGCTTCAAAAGATTCGGTGCATTAATGAATTGGTTGGTTGTTTAGTTTATTGGTTGGTTAATGAATGGATTGATTCATTAAATTAATTTAGTCAAAGAACTCCCAATACTTCCTTATATTAATATGATAAGTTAATTAGTTCTATATTTGCTAAAGTATCCTATCTATGATAATTGAAATTAAAATGGTACACTTTTAATAATCATAGTATGAAAACCTTTAAAAACCAGATTTTTGTTAAATAAATTAATAAATAATATTAAAAAAATAGTTTTTTGTTCGTCCAATAAAAAAAAAAAACATTATTAGAGGCTCACTATCCTAATATTTGTGCCAACAAAGAAAGAGGATCATTGAGGATGTAACACTTTAAGCTTCAATTTAAAAAATAGGGAGGTCAGTATAAATAAAACACCAACTTAAGATAAAAACATTTTATTATTTTCATGTCAGATTATTGTGAATGATAAAATAAAAAAATAGTAAACTAAATTTATCAGCAATGAACATAACAATATTAATATAAAACCAAGTTAAAGCTAAAGGTAGTCTGTAAAACTAACCGCTTCAATTGTTTGTAATAACATAGCAGAATTAGTTACCAAATGGGTAATTTTTTGATAATATCAAGTAATTTAATAGAAATATAGTTTTATCATTGAATGTTAATTGTTACTAGCAGCTTTCATCGGCTGATACGTTAACAGTTTGTAACCTTCTTAGCAACGAGATCCAAAAGAATAATATAACATATTAAAATATGAAACATAACTTTATGTGACTAGAAATTTTTATTAATGTTTTAAAAAAAATATTTTGTCATAATGCAATAATAAAAAAATATTACGTGATATCATATTATAATCGCTTGGCTTCTAGTCAAACTTAGGGCTTTTACTCACGAATTACCCATTCTTGCTGCAATTCACATTGTTCTCTACCATGGTCAGCCAACCCGGCTTTGGTCCTTTTCTGATGACTGGCCACGTCTCTCTAGGTTTTTCTCTCTTTGGGTTGTAATTTTTCGCACATTTTTCTGTGGCACTATCAGGTTTATATAAGACGTGTTTGATCCATTTCGGTTCATTTTCTAATCCTTGTTGAAAATCTTCTCAGGCCATCTGTCCGTCGGAATCTTCGCGAAAGAGGTTGAGAGAAGTATGAAGAGAACACGTGGAGGTTTTATAAATCACCTTCCAGATTACTGTAATGCAGAACTGACTTTATACTGATGTGAAATAGCGCTAGTTTCGTCTTCTCAGAGAGCTCATTGTTGTTCTTTATATAGGATGTAGTTGAACAAACAATCCATTTGCTCTTTTGACCCGGCTTTCAAAATCTTCCACCGTAACCTCTCTCTTTAGTGAAGATACTTCTCACGGAGATAAGTTTTGCAATGTTTTTATCAGAAAAAGCATCTCCTTTGATCACCTCGTTGGTCCGAAGTCCGACCAGGGTGCCTATTCGACTTTCATAGCATCTAATTCTCTGTAGATCCCGGAACCGCTGTCCAAGGGAACAAAGGTCGTTGGTTGCCAGACACTACTGTATTCCAAGCCCTCTTCCAAGCGTTGCTCTTATGGTGGAATTGAGAACCTCAATAAAAATATGGAGAAAAATCTCCATGGATAACTCCACATATGTGTCCATTTTATGAACTCTAATATTGTTTTTAGGGATGTCATATCTCTCAATGATTTTTATCAAAATTTTCTGGTCCAGAGAGGTTTTCAAAACCACATATAAATATAATATTTTGATTTAGAGTTGAATATAGCACAGAAATAGGGTTCACCTTTGAACCAGCTAAATATTACCAATTTTATAGAATAAAAATATATATTATACAGAAATGGTATTTTTTAAGATTATAATTATTACATGTGTAAAGTGAATTTATAAATAGGTGGTTCTCAAGTAGTTCTCTTCAGAAAGCATCACCTGTTATGTTTGTGTATGAATGACATTTTTAACATTTTAGAAAAATAAATTTGTTTACTTTTTTATTGATTTTATATAGAGGTGTACTATAGAATCTGTTCACTTAACCAACTTTGAATTTTTAATACCTATTTCTATGAAGTAAGGTTATTAAATTCGGAGTTGTTGACACAGAACCAGCAAAATGTGATTTAGGTAAGTATGTGATAATCATATATGATCTCCAGTATAGGTTTTTAATAATAAACAGCCTTCATAGTTAACATAACCTAGAGCTGATTTTGTCAAGACTACGTATCATTGATATGATTTCTTCAACAGTAGCCAGTATTTTGTTCTAGGAAGTAATGAGAAGACATAGTGTATGCATACACAACCCTCCTTGTTGTTTTATTACTGACGCAGGTACTGATTCTTCTTTAACTGAATGCTGTTTTCCTCAATGTAAAAATCACCCAAAGAAAAAGAAACCCCACCCCAGTACTAGCAACTTGAGGTAAGTGCTAACTTGTAAAGGTGTGTTTAGACATTTCGCAAACTATGGGAACACTATTCTCTAACTTAACTAGCAGCGACATTATTGCTAAATCAAGCTATTTATTATATTCCTCTTGATATCGACAGCAGATAGAAAATATAAAAAAATAAACAAAAATATTAGCATGGTGAAATAATAATTTATATATTTGTTTGTCCCATAGTTTGTGAAATATCTAAATGCACCTTTAGATGTAATTGCTTTTCTTTTTATTTATCATTGGTGTCGGATTATTGTACCTGGGCTTAGAGTTCAAGGGGCAAGGTAAAAATTATAGGATTTTATAATTAAAGTTATATTAGTTAAAATTTGAAGTTTTTAAGATTGAAATATACTTAAAGTATCATTAGGTACCTACTTATAGCATATAAAATAACTGCCATCGTGCACGCCCTTAAACATGCAAAAGTCATTACTACATTTCATAACCTTAACTAATGTAGAACTTTGAACAATAATTTCTTTATGTAATCGGGGAATTGTGCACTTGTTATAACTATATTTGATCTATGATTTTTTTTTCATTCTTTGTCCTTAGTGTTTTTGTATCGATAAATAAAGACGAAATTTATAAAAATATTTTTGAAAGTTAACCTACATATAAACTGCACTTAGTGCCGTTTTGCAATAGAGGGACGATATGTATCGTATGCAAGGAGACTTGCACTAATACCAGAGGTGTCTAGAGATGTGGGAGGCCTAGTTGTACTAAAGACTAGTCCGTACTAGTAGACATGTTGCTCGATTTTGATCTCTGAGACATGTCTCAATTTGTCTACGTAGACATGTCTATAGACCAATCTTCGTATACTGGCCTATTACGAGATCTGAAATCGCAGGTCTAAAGTCTCTCGAACGGAATGGCAGACATTATGCAACGTTAGGCATGATGCGCAACATATTGACAATGTGGACCTCACCCGACATCTAGAGATGAGACACGTCCCAGTCTGTCCCCAGCTAACGAGTGGTTGGTTCGGCTGTTCACAGTTATTTTTCAAAGTTTTATAGTTCTTTTGAAAAATTGTGGTATAAGAAAGTTTTAAAACTAATTGAAGATTACTGTGGCGACTCCCAGTCTTAATTTATTTAATAGTGCATTACGGAACCTAGGTCCTTTTGCGAGCACATTGCGCATTCTATAATCCTAATAGGCTCCAGTCACATCCTCAAAACTGTTCCTAACATTCCAATCCTATTCCAACAAGATAATCCAATCAAATTTTAACTCACCATCAAAAATCTTGGAATAATCTTTGATCGAACCCTTTCCTGGAAAAAACATGTATCCAACATCTCCCGACGTACCTTTTCCACCCTAAAACATTTAAATAGCCTCCATCACATTTTTCTTTTTGAAACCTGTAGACTCCTGGTTCCCTCCTTAATATTTCCCCACTTTGACTATTGCTGAACGGTATATGGAGGCGTCCCTGAGAATCTCGATGCGAAAGTAAAACGTTTGATAAATTGCTTTGTACGATTCATCTTCGGGATTCCAAGGGACGCCCCTGTTTCCTGTTTTTATGAAGAGTTGAAGTGACTTTATCCTCCCTACCGCCGTAAGTATTTTCTGTCATCCTTCATCTTCCAAGTCATTCACTCCCGCCGTCTTTCATACATCTCCGAGCTCCTTCAATTTAAATTTTCTGTCTATTCCCGCAATACCCGTTCCCGGTCTTCAGATTTATATATAATGGCCCACCGAATCGCTACTTTCAATAAATATTTTATTATTTATGGAATTCCATTCCTTCGCACTTTCTAGGTGTTCATATATCTTAGTTGCCAAGATGGAAGTTAGAATTCTATACAGGCCACATGTTGAAGTATTTCTTAAATATTTAAATAGAATCTTCTCTGTTTATCTTCAAGTATTTCCTGGCAACCTTTGGTCAGAAATTCATGCAAGCAATGAAATCTTTTAACCCAATAATTTTGGATCCCGCCAGGCCCTGGTGTCCTCCAATTTTTCCATGTTCCTAACCGCTGTTATGGTCACTTCCATCATTTCAAAGGCATTCTGGAGACTTCACAATTCTTCTTCTATCCAAGAGCTCTCAAGGCGATTCTCCGATTTTCCCCATAAACTTTTCCAACACGTACGTTCATACACAGGCGGATCTACGGAGAGGAGAGGAACTTTCGTGCTGAAGGCCTCTCCCCCAATATGGTAAAATATAACCATTTTTAAAGAAAAAAATTATCTCTAACAATATTATTGTGCGTCTAATTACATTTGATAGGACTTAAAGAATCACTTTAACGCCATTTCATATAGGTAGTTTGTTTCGTTCTTTCTTCCGAAGTAATTATTTTAATATATACACACAAAAACAAATCTTTGGGGAAAATTAAATCCTGGATCCGTTAGTGCGTACATACATACATAAAAGCTTTCCGGCTGAAGCCCCCAAATCAAAATTCTGGATCCACTACTGTCATCCAGTATACACAAAATATGTAATATAACTAACTACTCGTTTTATGTTTGTTTTATTTATATTATTAAAAAAAGTAGATTAAACTGTACTCAGATTAGGCTTTGATTGATAAAAATTGTTTCCCTTTTTTTCCTTTCCAACCTTGGAATTTCCCTAATCAAAAAGGAATTCTTCACCAAAGTGGAAACCCTGCTAACGACTGTTCCGGAAAAACTTTCAAAATTTGATAAGCAAAATGGTGGATTTTCACTAATTAATTATTCAAGTAAGATTAGATATTTTTTATTTTTAAAACGTCATTGTCACATTATTATGGAGATAGTTACATTTACAATGTTCACAGTTTGAGAGACTATTTTAAAAATTGATGTAATCAATCAGTATCCAATATATCTTTCATTTCATTTATTTTAAAATGATTTAATGCAGTTTATATGTATTAATAGTGTTTATTGTTCACTGAAGGCATAATAAAAGAAGAGATTCTACTCAATTACTTCCTAAACATTGCTATGGGCCTCATATTTCCAGCTTAAAGTGTAACAAGACAAAGTAAGTATTTAATTGAATTATTTTTAGAAAATTGTAGATCAGGTATTCAATTTTATTGAATTTAGGGATATTTAACCTACTACTTGAAATTAGCATTAGTTTTTTATCTCATGGTTTATTTACAGTAAAATTTCATAATGATTTGAAAAAGTATTACAATAATAAAATCGTAATATTATTCTTACCTTTCATACTCACAAGTCATTATATTTTTATTTTCTTAATGTATGCAAATTAATTTTAAAAA